CCTTTGAAGCAATGTGAGGGAATAGTTTGCTGTATTTTGCTGATAAAATGTTTGTGGCTGAACCTGTTTAAATTTCTGTACTGAATTCTCGCTCACTTTACCTGCTTGTTTATGCCTGAAAGTGATTTTAGTTACTTCATACATTATTGATTTTCTTATTACACTACAAATTTGAAACTGTGGGATACTATCAATATGAGCTATATGACATGCATTTTAACAATGGCAAATTTCTCTCAAGCTATTGCAATGTGTTATCTCTTCAAACCTAACCAGATCATAATATTATCTTTTCATTGTCTTTTTTAACTTTTTATTTGCAGAGCTTGAAACAAAAAGGATTTTGCTTGACATTTTTAAAGAAAAGCAGAAGAAAAGTGCTGAAGCTGGTTCAATTCCAAGTTTCTACAAGAAGGCATGTGTCAGCATTGTTAATTCACAGTTTATTGCTTCATACAGACACATGAAGTGTGTGCAGTTGTTATCTTCTGCATGCATAAAAAACATATTTCTGTAATATAAATACTGATATGCCTTGTCTTCATACAGAAACCTGAAGAGGGATCAATCAGTCACAGGGTCCAGAGATTGGCAAAGTATCGATTTCTAAGGGTATCATCTTCTATCCTTATATTTTTTTAGCTGCATCTGTATATATATACAACTTTTATCTGTTGATGACATTTTCCATGTTTTGAACAGAAACAATCAGATCTTTTGCTGAATGCTGATGACTTGGATGCAATGTGGGTCTGCTTGAGAGAAAATTGTGTGATTGATGATGCCACTGGAGCCGAAAAGGTCTGCTTCTTTTTCCTCTTGTTTTCCTATACATCATCTAATATTGTTGTTGCCGATTTCTATGATACATGCAAGTTCAACCATGTCTTGTCTTCTTGGTAATATGATAAATACTTACATTCAAATGGAAGTCATTAGAGCTGGAGAGATTCAACCAAATTCCCCTGCCTCCATCTGAATTATGAAAAAGAAAGGACTTGCCTTTATTTTGGCAGTTGTAGTATGAGATCCTCATGCTATATATCACAAAGAACTTGTTGAAAAATTGACTCTTTCGTCAACATTTATGCTTGTCATTGATTTTTACTGGCATACCCTAACCTCAAAGGGTTTTATTTTGTCTGCCAAAAATTATTATTTTCTTCTTAATTAGTGATATCTGTTCTTAATGATCGCATAGTTGAGATATAAAACACGGTTTGCTTAGTTATTCTTCTAGTGAATTTTAAATTATCCTCTATATTGTTTATTTTGGACCATAATTTTCCAAGAACAACTGCTTAGCAGTCCTTGAGCTCTTATTTTTGTTGCCCCTTTGGAATAACATGATAATTGATGCATACTTTAATTTGTTTCTTATAGATGAATTATGAAGACTTCTGCCACATAGCCTCTGTATGCACAGAACAAATAGGTCCCAAATGCAGACGCTTTTTTAGTCCTTCAAACTTCATGAAGTTTGAGAAAGACGAGCAGGGAAGAATTGCCATCCTGCCCTTCTACCTTTATGTGATGCGAACAGTAAGTCATTGTTGACTTGTACTATTTCACTGGGATTGTTGTTTAATCTCCTGAGGTTAAAGTTTTTTAAGTATACATGTGATTGTGTGTTTCTTTTTTTTAAGTATACATGTGATTGTGTGTTTCTTTCTCCATAACTATTTGCTTTTACATTTTATGTCATTTTTCTTGGATTTTGAAGAATCCATCTTTCATTTATGATAGCTACTATCGGTTATTGTTATGCAGGTTTCACTTACCCAGGCAAGAATTGATATGAGTGAGCTTGATGAGGATTCTGATGGTTTCCTTCAGCCACATGTATGGGTTCTTATTGTTAACATTCCTTCAATTTCTGAAAATGAAATTGAACAATGTGTATATTTCTTTGCTTTGTGGACTTTCACAACTAATGGTTTGAACTTTCATTGGGCCCACTACCTGTAAAAAGCAGTTTCTTTTGTTGATGATTATCTAATCTATTTAGTATGGTGATTATCTAATCTCTGTTTTGGCCATTTTTGGTTTTTTTTGGCTATTCCTTTTCTTTTAGTTCAGAAATTTGAGAACTCTAAGCCTCTGACTTTTGCAATGGTTTAGAGTGCTCAATATTTTGCAGTTGAGTAACCTAGCTGGGTCTAAAAATGTTTCATATATAATACTTAGCTAAACTTTTGCTTTTCTCTTCAGGAAATGGAATCCTATATACGAGGTCTTATTCCAAATTTAGCACAATTACGTGATATGCCCACAGCCTTTACACCAATGTATTGTCGCATAGCTGCACACAAGTTCTTCTTCTTTTGTGATCCTCATAGACGAGGTTTGCATGGCTGATATCTTTTCGTTGCTAAGACTTGTTGATATTTGATGGTCATTTTTGCTTGATTTGGACATCTTAAGGGGAAAAAAAAGTCCCTGGTTTTACTTTTGAAAAATGTAAATGGAAGTTCAACTAAATATCAACCAACAGAGTGTAGACCATGCTAATATTGGCTTCCCGGAAAGTAATGTGGTAGCGAATTAGAAAATGAATAGAAAATTAGTTTGGGCTGTAGTTTCATGGATTGATCATTTCCTTTAATTCATTCTCTGTTTAATATTGTGGCAATGGTGATTTACTACTTATCAAGCTTTGAACACGAGGAAGGAAAAATTGTAAGTTGCTGCATTCTATGATACAAGGTCTTTGAAAAGGTTGGTTCATGGGTTTAAGTAGATAAGATGGAAAGTAAATGATGTCAGATTGCGCAGGCAGAGATTCTTTCTATGGTGTAAATTTCCTGAAGTAAACGCTGGCTATGCAGTTAGTCCTGTACCTTTTGAACTTCATTAGATTACATATAGATGCTCATGTGTACACATTTGAAATCATATTACCATGCGTCCTTTCATTCAAAATATATTTAAATGACCATCTTTTACAGGAAAAGCCTGCATTAAGAAAGTGTTGCTTAGTAATTGTCTCCAAGAACTGATGGAGCTTCACCAGGTAAAGCGTATAATTTTTTTTTTTTTTTTGATGTTATTCTTAGAGCTAGACCTTAATTCTTTATTTCCTTGTGCTTCCTTTTGTTCTGGTATTAATATGATCCTGTTTTGTATGGAGAACTTTGAGTTGTATTTGGTATCAAACCTTATAAGCATTAACAGGCAAATCCGTGTTTTAAATTTGCTATTATGTATTTCAGGAAAGTGAAGAAGAAGTCACAGACACAGAACAAGCTGAAAACTGGTTCTCTTTGACATCTGCTCAACGAATATGTGGTTGGTTTCTCTCATTGCTTTAGGGTCCAGGATTATTTCATATTCAGATAGTTTTCCCTGTTTGCGAGGCATTTACATGAGTAATAATGATGTAGAATAAGGGAAGAAAACGGAGAGGAAAGAGAAAGAGGGATAAATAGAGATAAAGGAGAAAGGGAAGAAGAATGAGGGAGAAATAGATTATAATAATTCTGAATATTTATGTCCATCAAGAGAGAATAACCTAAGGGTATTTATATAAAAGAAATCATGAAAAGCGTAAAAATTACTAAGAACCTAAATCTAATAATGCCTCTTGCGTTTTTCAAATTTCCCATCTACTAGTGAGGTTTTTTTTTTTTTTTGGTTGGTTCTTCCAATTACAAATTGTATTTGCCTTATATAAGCTGACATTTTTCTTCCAGTGAGAGAGATGTATTTATGATGAATGGGATAAATTGCATCATGAATTGAACTTCTGATATTAAAACTACTGTTATGGACTTGTAATCACCTGTTTCGTCAAATATTTCTACAGATATGTTTCTTGCCCTTGATAAAGATACAAATGGGACATTGAGCAAGCAGGAGCTTCGAGAATATGCTGATGGGACTTTAACTGAAATCTTTATCGAGAGAGGTAAAAATTAGCACATTGCGTTATGAATTTTGAGGAGTATTGCATTTGCATATTCCTTGTTAGATAAATAGCCTTGATCTAGACTAGAGCTTCATTAACTCATTCTGTTGAAGACCCAAATCAAAACTGGAATTCACTGGTCTGTGTTATATAAATATCTTGTTCAAGTGAACATAGGTTTATGGACCATATGATGAAATACTCCTTCTGGTCCTAAAATGTAGAAGCTAGTTGAGGGATTTGCTTTGTTCTTAAATGTAAGACCTCAATCTACTTTGTTTCCCTAATTTATAATTTTTCCCCTATCCCTATTGATCGCATATATTAAGAGGGGTTTCCGACAATAGGGGTAGTTTCCAATGTAAATGACTAAGGGAGGCATTTTAAGGAATCTAACATTTTTTACAAATAAAAAACTTTAATCAATTTTCTTAGTCTCTGTAAACTAGTTACCTAGCTCCTATATTTAGGACCAAAGGACTAACAAGTTGGAGTTCTGATATTTTGCACATCATTCGTGAAATTTATGGAGAGCCTACTGGGCACCATCTTTCTGTTTTCGTTTGTATGCCAAAACAGTTCTCTTTTAGATAACTCATCTGATCTGTCCTGTGTGGAAAACTTCACCTGCTATGGTTTACCTTTTCTGGGATCAACTGTGTTCTGAATTATAGTTACTCATCTGTTTTTGAGGAAAAAAATAATTATCTTGCTTGTAGTATTTGATGAACATATTCGTCGTGGAAAGAGTAGTGGTAATGCCCGGGAGATGGACTTTGAGAGTTTCTTGGACTTTGTCTTGGCTTTAGAGAACAAAGACACCCCGGAAGGCTTGACATATTTGTTTCGATGTCTTGATCTTCATGGTCGGGGTTTCCTTACCACAGCTGATATTCACTCCCTTTTCAGGTACATACTATCACGGCATCATTGTGTAAGGATAATGTCTGTTTACTTTATGCCATGCTCTTTGGCTTTGCTTCTACTTTTCTTTATTTTTCTTCAGTTATTCTTGTTATTCAGTTTCTGTATTCTATGGTAACAAACTCTAAACATAAAGATGATTATGTGATCCAATTATGGAAGTAAAGAAGGGGACCATTCAAAAGTTGGGATGTTACCTGATACAATCTTCCTATATAAAATAAAAAAAAAAAAACCCTGTCATTTCCTGCTTGTAGTGCTTGAGATGGTCCTACAAGTCTCCGGTAGACAGGGACAAAATTCAGGTTATTGCCAGAATTATATTGAATTCGCTGTCATCTTAAATTTTAACCAACGGGTATATTTCACTTTTCTGCCTTGTGAACGCAGGGATGTGCACCAGAAATGGATAGAAGGTGGCAACTACGAACTTTGTATTGAAGATGTAAGAGATGAAATCTGGGACATGGTCAAGCCTGTAGATCCCCTTAGGATCACATTGGCTGATCTTCTGGCTTGCAAACAGGGTGGAACCGTAGCCAGCATGCTCATAGATGTGCGTGGCTTCTGGGCCCATGACAATAGAGAAAATATTCTCCAGGAAGAAGAAGAGCCAGAAGAAGAATAGCATCGTATCTGTTCCAGGTTTGCTAACAGAAAGCTGTTGCCTAATATTACTTTTCTTTCAACATGGAATTCTCTCACAAGACGCATCCCCTAGATCTGCAATTAGTTGTGTGTAGTGTATCTTATATTGTATGTTGATTCCAATACATTAATCCTAGTGTATCTACTATCGAGCCATGTATTGAAACTAGAACATCTTTGTTTGGCCAACTTTTTTGTGATGATATAACGTAGAAAAATCCTGTTCATTCATGCCAAGCAATGATGGGTCTCTTGCTTTAATCATTCCAGGGTTTTTTTAAATTTAATATTGCTAGCTAGTTTATCAGTTTGACATTACAATATCTTTTCTTTTTGGCAAAAAACTTCACAGTAAAGTAAACTAAGTTACGTTGCCAAAAAAAAAAAAAGTAAACTAAGTTATGATTTTATAATACTAAATAAATTTTATTTTCTGCAATTCTTTAATCCTTTAGTTTACACCTCAATAAAATTGCCTGTTATTTAAGTGGCTCTGCAGGGTGGTGCCTTTTTAAAATTTTCTTTTTCTTTTTTTCGTTTTAAATAGTGGCAGGTTGCTTTTTTGTCTGATAATCTTCTTTTGGCCACCTTTTTGTCTATGTATCAGTGATTCCACTTCCGGATTCCGTTTCTTTGATAAAGTAACCGAAAGTTTTTGCAATTTGTTTGTAATATTTTCGGATAAAAATAAAGGTGAATGTGATTATTTACATTTAATCTGATTGAAGTTCAACCGCGTTCTGAATATAGTTACTCATCTGTTCAGGATTATAATAAAATGAAAATATAAGGGATAATATTATCATAATTTAGTATTAAAATAATTAATTTTTTTGGATAAAAGAATAATAATAATATAATTAAGAACCCCGCTGTATATTGTATCTTATCCCCCAACACTTATATCTTCGAGCTCCCAGTTCCAGATTCGGTTCCAACAAATTTGAATATTTGATCATAACTAATAAAAATATACTTCTTAAGAATGTAAGACATTTTTAATTAAATTTTACTTTTTAATAAAGTAGTTATTTATTTTTAAATTAACCTTATTTTTTATATTTACTCCTATTAAATATCCTATAATAAATATAAAGTTATTTAAAAAAAAGATAATAATTACACTTTAAAAAATTAAAAATGTTTTATATTTTTAAACATTCAACTCTTAAAAAATGCTTATATTTTTAAATGGAAGGATAAATAATAAAAAATGGAAAAATAAAAGGGCAGTAAATAAACCAATTTACACATTCCTTGAGTTTAAAAATCATAACTTGCTGATTAAAAAAATAATAAGCTGAGAATTTATTTTTATTAATGTGCATAATTTTACTTTAGAAATTAAAATTCATTAAGAAAATTCTTTCATTCGGCCATGCAAATTCAATCACGAAGTCCTTGCTAGGGTTGGTTAATTTTGAGGCTATAAATGGGAGGATTCCCCAAACTGACATCAAGCCATTAGTGCCTGTTGCGTTTTCCTTCCGACCGTGGTGCTGTGGGAATAGCTTCGTCAGACCAACCCCACCTCTTATCGATCATCCCTCAGACCTCTGCTCTATTTGCCGCCGCCGCCGCATTTCCTTGTCGATGACCGTTTTAAGAGGTGGTGTTGGTCTGATGTGCAATTCATACAGGCATTTGCAAGGCGTCGAGCCTTGAATTCCGCCGCTAAGTATGTTTTTTCAAAAAAAAAAAAAAAATCCATGATCAACTGCACGGTTTGTAAGATTGACCCAAACTGGTTGAATTTAGGGTTTATGCTTTCGACGAACTGAAGCTAGTATGAATTTTCAGGTTTCAAGTTATTTTAGATCGCTTGTTTCATTTGTTGACATTGATTTTAAGTTGTTAGTTTCTTGTAGCCATGGATACTGATACTATCTATTTTCAGTTTATGCCTGTACGATCTCTTGCCTCAGGCCTTCAGAGCGCAGATGCGAAATAGGAGCCATGACATATTAGTAAAATTATTTTTTTTTTTTAACGAAGCACATTTTTAACATTTTCAAATGTTTCTTATGCTATGCCTTGGAGTTTATTGATGTTTGATGAGAGTCAAACACTGTTACCTAAACGGATAGTTTCAGTGATTCAGTCTGAAGTGTTGCTTGAGTGTCTAGTTGCACCGGCCTTGTGGGACGGCGGTGCCAGGGTAGATGTCGTCGGTGCTTGTCACTGAAGTCAAATCTGGACAGTCGATCCAGAATTTAATAATAATTATTTTTATACTTTTAATAAATTTTTATTTTATTTCTTAACTATTCATCTATTGAAAAATAAATTTATTAGTTAAAAACTGTAAGTTAAAAAACTCTAAATTTGAACTGTGTTTAAATTGGATTTGAACCATCCATATCTCACCTTGTTGATAAGCATTGAAGCCTAGCTCAGCCAAGATTTAGGATTCCAAAATTTTAGGGAGAATGACAATTGCAGACCATATCACCCATTTTAGAAAGGCCATTGCACAGTCACGACTATAAGATATTTCCCAAGCTGTCGAATTACAGATGCTAGACCCATCCAAAAGATTTTAACGGACCTTTGCATTGTTCAGGAGGTCAAACCAGACTATTTATTCATTTAAAGTGAGGGGCATTTTAGTCAAATTGAGTCATATTTAGTTGCAGATAGGGATCATGGCTCTTAAATGAAATTTTAATAATTGAAGGTCTCTAGTTATAATTAACCATCTTATAGGTCTATAATTGTCATGTTCCCAAAATTTTATGTATGTAATATTTTAAAAAAAGAAACTTGAAAATTGATATATCCTATCGGTCCCTCCATCAAGCGAACCAGAATTGATTGTTTGGGTCTGGCGACGATGAACTGTTATACAGATTGCCCGCCCATGATCTGACTGTTTGACTGCGCCCGCCATTTGTAGAGACAACCTAGAAGGGAGAAAAGAACCTACGAGATGCTTTGAATGATGGAGAGATATGAGGGTATCAAATATCGATCTCATTATATAGCACTTTACAGTATGTCAATTAATAGACAACCGTTTCATTCTTCATAATTCAGTAAATGTTAAGGTTCTCAAGGTGATAGTTGTACGAGGATTTGTCTTTGTGAGGCTATTTTGTGGTATGAAGGAATTTCATGATAGGTGATAACCATTTTTTCCTGTAATATTGGAACTTGTTAAAATGGACCCTCTTTATCCACCCACAGTAGCAGTAAAAAACTAGTACTTCATCATAATTAAAATTAGCTTTGAAAGCGATGAGAAAGGCTTTCTTTGGTCCTTGCGGCTAGCAAGCAAGAGATTTCGTCCCCAGTCATGAATATAAATTTCTGTCATGGCGATCTAAACATCACATTACTAGATCCACTGCGTCTACCTCCAAATAATTGAGGCCTCTAGATCTGCTGAATTTCATTTTTAAAGAATTGATTCCAGTAAATATGTCCAAGGAATGATCATATAGCCCAGGGGGAGCTTTAATCTTTCAAGGAAAGCAATCATTTTGCAGCGTGCGGCAAGTGTCGAGCAACTTTTAATATATTAGATCAATTTTCCACATTGCAACATGGTCAAATTCCTTCCAAGCTCGAGCACTGCCTCCTAAATTTACGTTAGGGGACATATGAAGTGGATGATTGACCCCCGTGTTTCATACAAATGGATTGATTGTTTATGCATATAACCTTGTAGCATATTGTAACTGAAATAATATCTCATAATTAAGGCCATCACGCCTTAAACTTTCCTTCTTCACCTTTTTTTAGTTGCTTCTATCACAAGCAAATATCTTAGAATTACAAAACCAGCGTAGTCTTTGTTAAGGGGGGGGGGGAGAGATTTGGAAAGTAGTCAGTGTATTTTACTAATCTACCACCTATCTTATTTATGGGGCATGCACAAGACAAAGCAATAAATGAAAATTAACTATATATACATACTGATTACTCAACAATAATTCTAGTCAATCCTAAAATTATACAAAGAATAATTCTAATTTTCAATACTTCCCCTCAACTTGGCGTGCATAGGTCATATACGCCAAGCATTTTACAAATGTACTATATTCAATGTCTCCAAAGAGCTTTATTTAATATGTTTGCCAATTGATCACTGGAGATAACATAATTTGTCGCAAGACATCATGATTGGATATTCTCTAGCATAAAATGACAATTTATTTCAACGTGTTTAATTTTCTCATAAAACACGGGATTTGAGACTATATGTATTGCAACCTAATTGTCACATATCAAATCCATTTTGGTAATACTCCCAAATTTCAATTCCTAGAAAAGAGCTTTAATCAGACAAGCTCACATGTAGCTAAGACCATGGCATGACATTTTGCTTTAGCACTAGACCTTGCAACAACGTTTTATTTCTTGCTCTTCCAAGAAATTAAGTTTCCACCAATAAAAACACAATATCCCGAAATAAAGCATGATCAATTGGGCATCCAACCCAGTTTACATCACTACACCCAACAATTTGAGTATCATCTTAGGTGTTGTCCTTATCACTATAATCATAGCCAATTATTTGAGAATTCCCCTTGTCTTCATATAAGAGTCCTTAACCTGGGGATCCCTTGATGTATCTAAGGATGCGAACTACAACTTCCCAATGACTATCACATGGAGATTCCAAGAATTAACTTACCATGCCTACATTGCCACGTGGTTAAATTCCTTCCAAGCTTAAGAGGACCGCCTCGTAAATTTACATTAGGAGACCTATGATGAGGACGATTGACCCTTGTTTTCATACAAATGGATTGATTGTAAATGTATATACGCTTTCTGGCATATCATAACTGAAATAGTATCTCATAATTAAGGCCATCACGCTTTAAACTTTCCTTCTACATCCTTTTTGGCTGCTTCTATCACAAGCAAAGATCTCGAATTGCAAAACCAATGTGATCTTCAATTTATCCTTTAGTTTCACGGGAATTGTAAAGCTAGCACGGCCATTTCTAGTTCACATTTAACAGCCATTCCCTTTATGTCCTCACATCCTAATTGATGACATGATAAAAGTGGGGAAACCACCTCAACCAGAATCGTGGCGTTAAGCCATGTGCAGGAGAAAGGATTTTCTTTACACAATGAGCATAGTGCAGAATTCCAGATACACATCCTAAAAGTGCATGAAGAGTGAAGATACTTAAGATATTGTACTTATAGTCCAACAGCTAAGCTTCCAGCTGCTTGAAATTCTGAGTTAATGAATAGCCAATCTGCTAACTTGTTTCTGCACAATCTTCATGTAAAATTAATCTGTTCGATTATTGAGGTGATCAGCTTGAAATTGTCTTACGAGCAGCAAGGATTGATGATAGAGATTGAGATCAATTCCATCAACATTTCTACCTACACGTGCCTGCAAGACTCCCTAGGAAGAAGCAAATAAGACCAAAGTCAATCATCCTCTCATGTGCACCAGTGTTCATAGAGCATGCCATGTGCCCCATGTGATTGCAAGAGCAAGATGAAGGAGAATTCAACCAGATCTTGACAAGAGCATACCTTGTTATCGGGTTGGATGAGGAGCTCACCAATGAATTGGTAGACAGAGCCAACTCGGAAGCTAAGGTCCCTCAAGTGCTGAGTATTAACTTTTAGAGTGGCATCACCATCACTAACTGTTGCCAGGGCAGTCTCTACAGAGTATTCATGAAGCCTGGCAGATTAGAGACAGTCAGCTATCAATGAGTTCAGTATACAGAAATACAAGGTTATATTTAAGCCATAGAGCTTCTATGATGCAATCATATATCAACTTGCATGATCATAATTAAGAAATATTTCTTTATCAAAAAAAGAAAGAAAGAAAGAAAGAAAAGAAAAGAATTAAGAAATGTTTGTGTGTGTCGGTGCGTGTCAGATTTTGAGGCTTTACAATATCAGTAAACTCTACAAGAAATGTGCCAATTGTTACAAGGTATCAAATATATTGATATTACATCCCCATCTCAGTATCTCACTGCACGCTGCCACTTGGGAGTTACTGGGATTTCTGTTACTAGGTATTCTATAAGTTGACATACCAATAAGCAATCTTGTGCTTCCACATCTGATGCCCAATGTTATCATCTCTCAACAGATCAGCCATAGAAATAAAAGAAGACAAGAAGCATAAGGATTACTTTGCACTTTTGACCACGAAGACCAAAGAAGATATAGATAACTATATTACCAGGATTTAATATCAAGCGTAATCAATATATTGGTGTATGAAACTTGCCATCATAAGAGAAGTCAAAAGGCATGCATGATTTTTAAGTGCAGAAGGCATGAATGCATTATCATTAGAATGGCAGCAGTCTTACTTTCCAACAATTCTTAGTGAAGCTCCTTCCTTGAAAAATGGAGATGATGGGTGTAGGTCTTGTAGAGAAACTAATGCCCCAGATTTGATTTCAGATAACGCCATTGAGCTACACTTGTTACCTGACAAGCTTCACACTTCTTCCTGCAATTTTTTCAGAAACGTATGCATACATAGGCGGACTTTCATTACACATGCCCCGACTGAAATCTTTGAAATATGCGTAGTTGATATAGTATCCATTTAATTTTTGTTCCAGCTACTTTGACACAATCGAGCCAAGTCATTTACAAGATCATACATCGCATATACCTTGAGAATTTTCTAAATTGACGACAATATGAAAAGATTAGTAACGGAAAGCCAATACACAAAAATCCAACATTGCAAAACAACATAATCCAAACCATGCAAGTCGCTAGTAATCAAGATGAAGAGGGCAGAAGTATAATAGCCGATCACAAACCATTCCGGCAAAAACTAGCACACAAGGGGAAAAAAAAGTTAAACTCAATCTGTAAATATTCCCAAATTCAAAAGCATCAATATTCAAACGACTACCCGACCGGATTCAAAGCCAAGTTAAACTGAAATATTTAAAAAAAAAGCAAGAACAGGCACGCAAGGAACGGATGACGCAGGAAATAAATTCAAATCTACACTCAAAGCAGGATTGACCCAAAAAAAATCTCACCAGGTTTTGGGAGTAGAAAAGCCTTAGCGTTCGGCTTGCACGCGAGCAACCACGCAGGCTGACAACGGCGGACGGCGCACGACGGAGTGTGGAATGTTTGTTCGTCGACGAAGAGAAATGGATCCGTTATACCAGAGTTTTTGGTTTGTCGGGGTTATGACTAATTTCATGGGATTTGGCATTGGTCGAAATTAATGACTGAAATAATAAAATTAATTACCCAATGTAACAAAAAAAAAATTGGAGAATTACCGACAAAAAAAAAGGAAATAAAAAAATTATAGGAGATAAACAATAGTGAAGGATGTCATTAGTTGGACAAAAATAAATAAATAAATAAAGATAAAAAAAAATTATTAATTTTGTAAGGATAATAAGAACTTTATTATTTATGAAAATATTTACATATAATAAAATTCAATTTCAATATATTATTATGAAAAAATTATATTAAAATTCATGAAAGAAAATTTATTATCAAGGTTCTTATAAATTTTATAAAATATTCTCAAATCTTAATCTTACTTATTGATAACTTAACTAAAACATTGATAATTGTGCAACGGTTATTTATAACTTGTTATTAATGACAATTTATAATAGTAAGTTATAAATAATTATTGTTTAATTATTAATATTTTATTTAAATTGTCAATGTGTAGATTTAAAATTTAAAAGTATTTTATAAAATTTATAGGATCTTTTAATAATAATTTTTTTCATGAAACTTAAATGTAATTTTTTCTATTATTTATATAATTTTTATTTTAAATTACAAAACATAGTTGCAAATTATTTCATCCACAAAAAATTATTCAATTTTAAATTTTATTTTTAAATTATATTTGAATTAAGAAATATTTTTATCAGTCATTGAAGCCTTAAATTCAGTTTGAGATCAACTTTATTCCTCAACTTATAATTTTGTTGCTGTCGCGCCACCGGTGTTAACTCTTCCAATTCTTCCGTCACGTTTTACATTTAAATTTTTAATATTTTAACGAGTTTCACCATTTTTGATATATTTTTATAATATTAAAAATACATCTATCTCCCCTCGCTCTCCCCCCCCCCACTCTCCGTCACATGCACCTTCTCCCCCTGATCAACAAATCCTCTCCAAATCATCTTTTTGCAAAATTCACCTTTCTTTTCTTCCATGGCAGAATGAAGGGTGCATAAAGGCCTCCTTCGTCGTTGAGTGACTCAGTCCAGGCATATGATCGTTTTGGCGCATCACCGCCAACTCCAGGTCCAGTTCATCAGTCTCTATCATGTCCTTGCTGCTTCTTGTTCTCCTGCTTCAACAAAATCCAAAGTATGCATGCAGGTAGGCTCTCGAGAGCATGCCAAGAGGTCGTCGGAGCAGTAGCCAGATTTGGTGATGGTGGGAAGCACCATCTCTGTTTCTAACATAAAAAACAGGGGAGAACAGGACCCAAGTCAAGCATCATCATTTCAGTGTGAAGCTGCTTTGACAACCTAATAGCATTTGCTTATGTTGGAGCACTTGCTTCCAGCTAATGCACCCGCGTCCTCATGCTATCCATATCCAGTCGTAGCACCTGATTCTCTCTCTCCATTGTATCCCTACAAACTTCAATAAGCGTTCAATATAAAAAAAAAAACGCGGGTGCATTAGCTTATTGAACGCACAGACAAGACGCCTTTGGATCAACCATATAAAAAAAAAACGCAAATATTGTGCTTCAAGACCCAAGAGTTGTTGATCTGTGCAAAATACGGCCGCCATGCCCACCACATGTCCCACGTGGATTGAAGTTTTTTGCGCCCATATACTATTTACTACTTATAGAAGGAAACTGCATGTGCGTAATTTTGATGCTTGTGGGCCGCTAATCTGACCATCTCTCTTTTGCCTCCAAATTGCATTCTTCCATAATAAGGTGCTCTTCAAATTAAACCAAAATAAGAGAATATTAAACAAGTACCGCATAATATTTCTTTTTGCTGATTTAATCTTTTATGGTTTATCGCGATAACAAGAAAAATGAATGACATATTTACGTAATTTCCATGCTCAACATGCGTGCATATAAAGAGTAGGAAAAATATATGTGTAGATTGAGTATGTGATACAATTAATTTTCTTGCTCTCCTAATTTTCATGACTCCACTACAGCAGCAACCTTGTACCTAAACCATGGTCGAGCATCTCCTGTCCTCCTCCAGTCCTCATGCCCTTGGTCCCCTAATCTGCATGCATCTAGGGTTGTTAGTGAGTCTATGCATCACGCGTACGATGTGGGGGTTGTTTCGACTTGGGGTGCCTCACTGGATTGTTTCAGCTCTGGTGATTTACGTTGTACCCTATTTTTGCCACGGATGTGGGAAGGACGGAGGGAATGTGAGGGGGAAAGAGACGAAGGGGAAGAGAGAGAGTGAATATTTTATTAAACAACATTAAAAAAAATCACTGAAGGGCCCACTAACAGAATCTTTTGGCAAATAACGGATGAGAAAACGGCCAGGTACTGACGCAAGCAATTTTGGCTGTTCGGGAAAAAAAAATGACATTTGACTTTAAGATCTATCTTTGAGATATAATTGAAAGATAAAAATGGCTCTTTACCTATTATTTTTTAGGATGAAAATGGAGGGAGGCAAGAAGCTGGTACGAAAAGATTTATAGGTAAACTTGAAAATGATTTTTTTTTCCTTAAAATCTTCTTATATTAAAAAAAAATGTGAAGACAAAAATATATGAGTCTCACGTGTTATTTTTTTTGCCTTCCAATTTTTTTCTCCTTAGCCAAGCTCCCACTTTTCTCTTCCCTATTATGTTGCTAACAAGTCTTATGTTGTGCTTGGTTCACAAGTAAAAGTAGGGAGAAGAGAAATGTGAGGAAAGAAAATGAGAAAAAAAGAAAAGTGAAGAGATACAATTTTTTTTTCCTATATTTGGCTAAACAAGAGAATACGAAAGAAAGAAAAAAAATGTTAATTTCATATAAATAATAATAACCTTATTGTTTGTAGAAAAATATTTATATATAATAAAATTTAATATTTTAACATATTATTTGTATAATTTTTATTATATATTACTGATAAATAAAAATAAAATTGTAAATTAATTTATCAAATGCTAGAAAAAATTTATTTTGTCCAAATTTAAAATTTATTTGTAGATTATTAAATATATAATAATCTAAATTCTAAAGTGTAGGAAAAATTAGGATGAAAATGAAGGGAGGCAACAAGCATGAAACAAAAATATTCATGAGTAAATTTAAAAATTGAGTTTTATCTTCAACATATTTCCATATTTAGAGAGAAAAATTATCAAATGATATGAAACGAACACATAGTTCTCAAAATGATTGATAACCAATGGATCAGTTCTACTTATTAACATAATAGTGCAATATAATATACATTTAATAATTCATGTTCAGAATAAAAATGGCAACTTGAACATAAAAAAATAATAACTTGAACATAGAAAAATGACCACTTGAATATGTAAAAAAAAAACTTGAATTTAAATAAATAACAACTCAGATATAAGAAAATGACAATGGATAGAAAAAAATAGTAACTCAGACATAAAAAAAAACAAGTTAACAAGGGAAAATATGACTTGGAGGAAGAATGGTCCGCATTGCAACTAATAGTGGCTGTAGGTTTTTATCTTTCGTTGTCTTTGTTGTGTTTCTGCCAAAAGGTTATTTCATTTCCTAAAGCACAATTGTAAAGTCCTCAATTTTAAACTAAATTAATTAAACTCAATTGGATTAGTTAAATGTATTAGTGAGATGTATGGTCAGATAGGCCTAACGAGCGTGTTTGATTGTAATTTTTAGCCCTAAACTCGGTTCCAAAAGAGAATCAAGTCACTCAGAAATGAATAGAGGAAGTAATCTAAAGGGAAAGGTTTTGTGCCATGTACCGCGACTTGTGGATCAGCCTGCCGCAGCATGCATGTCACATGGTGCATGGGCACTTTTCTACTATAATCAGATAGCAAAATTGATGCAACAGAGGATAGAAACAAAAAAGAGGCAAAGAGAGACAGAAAGAGCAATGTTAGGGCTTGAAGAATCAGAGTTTCGGGAATGTTTTGGGGCTCTTAAACATTAAGGTAAGCTTCCTACACCTAAATCATTCTTCCTTCTTCCATTTTTTTGGTATTGTAAATTAGGGTTTGGTTAATAATGATGATTTTTAGTTCATATAGACCATGAGTCCGAACATATTAACTTAAATGGATTTAATGGGATTAGATTAAGCTATTGAAACTTGATATTTATAGAGTCGTGATGATTGGTGGTTGAAAAGCATTTAATATGCGAAATTTTCATAAATAAGTTGGTTGGGAATAATATGGTTCCATTAATGGTCATTAAAGAGCTCAAAAATATTAATGAGGGTTAAAGAAAGTTAAGAAACTTTATGGATATTTTTATAAGTATATAATGAATTTTGAGTATGAAGAAATGTTAAGTTAATAGTGAAAATTAGCTCAACTATGGATATTGATAAATTATATTGTAAATGCTTGTCGAGAAACTTTATCGGCACCTTTCAAGCTTCTTAGAAGCTTTAGGAGTGAGTAATTGAGGGGTGAAACTTTTGGCATCTTAAAGGTTTAAGGTAACCAAAGAAATTCTATTATTGTATTTATGTGTGTTAATTAGTTTATTGATTTATATATTTGATAATTAAAATGTGTGGGATTGATTGAAATGCAAGTGTGGCATGAATTATTTGAAAAACCTACTATGAGGTAGTTATCTAATGAAGTTCAATGATTTTGAAATTATGAAGTTTAAAAATTGTGAATGTGTGAGGTAAAATGATTTTATGTGTGAAAGAAGTTATATGATTGTATTTCTATGAGAAGTTCAATGAATGTGCATCTTATTAAGGCGTCATGTGCGTTGTGCATTACACAAAATTTGACAGATCAGTGCTATTATTTGACAACATAGGGAGCGGACTTCCGTCGCGTCCCAAATCTCCGTCCGACGTCCGATTGAGGTGGTTTTGGTATCTACACGAAGCTTTCTCCTAACTCTAGCTAATTGCATAAGTTTTACATTCAAACTCATTTTTTTTATAAAAAGTTAGACATCAAAACTTATTTCTACCACATTTCTCAAATTCTCCCAAATGAGGTGTCTCAAACTCAAACACACATGCTAATAACTTACACAAACCATTCGACCACACATAATGGACTTTTGCAGACTCGTGCAACACACCACACACAATCAAACACGCTTATTTCACAAAATCACACTTAACTCCAATTTTCACAAAACATAAGGGGGGAAGAAAAGTTGTACAAAATCAACCATTTCATTCATATTTTTTTAAAAATACATATGTTTTTACTTGCACAAGTATTTTGGCCCTATTCACAGGTTCACAACAAAAACTCACTAATCCAGGGCATACAATACACTAGTTAAACACAAAATTATGCAAGTAGTGCAACAATTATGACAATTAATCCTAGTTGGCAAATATATTAACAAATACACATGAAAACAACTAAAGAGAGACATATAGAAGATTACTCCACCAATCCTAAACCTTAGTATGTTTTCCCTGACTCAAATCTGATGAGTTAGGTCCTAAAAATATTGAGAATTGAAGGGTGAGTACAACCACTCAGTAATAAAGTTTCACTAAACCCTTACAGTTGCATATTAATTGTAAATATATGTAATTTGGCACATAAACACATATTTCACATAGCACTAGGCCACAGTTCATAAAACTAACAATCATGTTACTGAGCTTGTCACAAAACACCATATCATAATATTTTCAAAAGCATAATTCAGGGTCACAAAAATAACAACCATGTATCCTTAACATGTGCCAGACCACAAAACTAACAACCATGTGGCTAGACTTGTATGCATAATTCTATGCCAACCTTATATCCTCTTGTTATCTCCGACATGAAACTGGTGGCTATCACATGGCTACGTCTTTCACGGACTAACCCAGCCTTTTACTTATGAGGAGCTACCAATCTAGGGTTAACTCACTCATTTATGTAACCCGGTTTACCCCAATATTAACAACTATGGAGTGTCGCATCCCTAATATAGCCTCCTTATGAACCAGTAGAGACTAATTAGGTTCGAGTCCCTCGTAGAACAAGTGGGATAGTCCTGAAACAATCATGAGACAAGGGCTACCTCCTGATTCCAACGATCGGTGCTAAGGCTAGTTCTTGATTTCAACAGTCACTACCAATACCACGTGAATTTCAACCAATCTACTCTCTCTAGGTGAATTTCTACCAATAATCATGCTATGCACATTTCACATAATATACATTTTCAACAATCATTTCTTGTCACATGAACTCACATAAAACATATGCTTATAATTAACTCATATTTCATCACAATTCTCCACCCATAGTGATAAATTACAAGTAATTTCATTAAACATCAGGGGTGGCAAAAATAAAGGTTTTCCTTTCAAAACCATTTTATAAATCCACACTTGCCAATATGCATTATCAATTTAACCATAAATCACATTTCGTAACACAATTAACATACAACTATAAAAATTAAGTTTTTTCCCAATTCCCTCAAACCTTTAAGAGGTTAAAGGTTTACTTCTCACTATAAAAAATTCCCTAAGCTTTAATAAGCTCAAATGGTGCCAAAACGGACCTCTCTACAACCATATCACAAATATATCATCATTAGCTAGCTTTTAAAGCTTTATCAATATAAAACTCCTCATACTCTATTTTTATCAATTCAAAATCAATACTCACTCTTACCTAATGGGCTCATTAAATTTCATTAATGCACATTGTTATTAATAACACATCAAACTATCATTATTGCATATTAACCTCTCCCAACTACCTCATAAATATCAATTTTCAAATATTAAATGCTTTCATGGACCAACCACTTGCAAAATCATCAATGTGGTGTTTCATTACATTAAACAACTTCCATTATTCTCATTTTAACCAATGGAATCGAACCCATACTCCTATAGACTGAAAATCCATCTCCCAACTTAAACCCTACCATAAACAATCTTAAATGAGGGAGAGAAAGGAAGAAGAAAGTATCATAATCTTACCTTAAATGTTTGGAAGCTTTAATCTATCAATAATGGGACTAAATATCATGCCCTAACAGAGCCAAAACCAAGCTCTTCATTTTCCTCCTCTCTTTCTCTCTTTTGTTTTCACGCAATTCATGAACTGATATATTTGATTTGTGGCTGTGCGCCACAGCGCATGCTGCCCTCCACCATGGCGTATGGCACAGAGGAGTTCGTTACGTTTAAATTGTTTTCGTGTGCCGCGATGGACCTACCACACATCGCGGCGTGTGGCACAGAAAATAATTCTTCACTTTTTCATCCTCTTTCCTTACCCGGGTGGCTTGCTATCGATCCGGACCTACTTCTAAGGTTGAAATCACATCAATTATGCCAAGTTAAGCCCATTTGGCCACAGACCTCATTAATTCACTAATTATCCTCATTATGTTAATAAATCAGGATTAAAATTAGTTGGATGTTACGTGTAACAAGTTGTGGTGCATAGCATAAAACATGCTGCAGCATATGTTCAATAAGCCGCAGTGCACGCTAACTTTTTCAGAATCACTTTGTTTTTCTAATTCTTTTGTAAATGCACTAATATTTATGGTGATCATATGCTTCTGCACAATTTTAAAATCTGATTTGTGATTTTGAGATCATTTGAAATGGAATTAGTTTTGAAAATGTGGGATCTCAACTTTACTATATATTTATAAACTTGGTAAACTTATTTTTGCCTTAATCCAATCTCTTAATCAATAGAGATTTGGAGTTAAACTTGGGTTAGAGAAGGAGGATATTACAACAATCTTATACAAACTGCCTAAAAATGTAATATGACCTAATGTTAGAGTCGGTAATTTGGGTGGGTCGGCCTTATTCGAATCAAATTTAAAGTATCCTATCCCTTAAAAAAGCTCATATAACCAAGCCTAAGCCCAATTTTAACTTTTTTCAATCGGGTCTAAGTTTGGCTAAAATTACCAACTTTATATACATATAGAGCTGTAAATTATTCGGGATGAGCTTATTTGAATTAGGTTTAAAGTATCCTACCCTCTTAAAAAAACTATATAGTTAAACCCGATCTTAACTTTTTTCAAGTGAGGTTTAACTGACCAGTCAGGCTTAACCTGAATTACCGGCTCTACCTACTGTATTATGAAGGGAGGATGAAAATGTTAAGGGAGCCTTTACGCCAAAAAAGGAAACATGTCTGACAAATAAAAAGAAATAAGAGAAACCCATTATTTACAAGTCAAGAACATAAGTAATGTTTTCAATTCAATTACTTCAAAAATACACGCATGCGAGCGCGCACAAGTGAAAAGAAGCCTATTTCCATTATGGGTTTCCCACAATTTTTTTTCCCAAGTCATTGGTTCCAAATTAAAAAATCTCATGTTTTCAATTTACTACATTTGATAGCAGAGTTTGAGGCCCCAATGGTTCCAATCATATACTTAAAAGTGGTTGTAACCATAAGTTACTCCTTGTGATATAATGCTGATATCATCAATTCTTGGTTTGAATTTGAAGAATTTTGAACACTTTCTCTTACTTTGTCTTTATGAAAAGATGCACCTCCTAGGCTCCCTCTATGCCTTGAGCGACCTTTGTTACTTCTACTTCTACATGAGCTTTGAGGAAAATATTTACATATATATAACGAAAATTTTGGTGATTCCTATGGCGTGCCTAAAAGTATTTGACATTCTTTGGTGAGTATGGCGAGCATAATTCTTTAGATATTTCCATTCAAATACAGCCAATATTTGAATGGAAGCAAACACAAATTTCCTACAGTTTCAGGAGAAAACAATGGAACATTTAATTGCTGCAAAGCTCCATTTAATAAAAAAAAACTGTAAAGCAGCTTTACAAATTACAATCTTAAGATAGAAGGGGAAATTATCAACGAAAATGACCCAATAGAAAATAAAAACGATTCATTAAATTATAATACAAATGGAGCGACAAATCCATTAATCATGTACAATTATTCAAGACTTAGGTGCTCGGGAAATAACAAAAATCAACACAGCAATAGTTGCCAATCTATGACATGTATTAGTTCCTGCTGACTTGATTTGGGGATGCATAAATTATCAATATTTCTCACCCCATGCTGCAGAGAGCGCATATCAAGCTTGAGGGCAGCAGTCCAAGAATATCCAACGCACAGGAAGACACTGGTGAACATGTGTATTACAAAACAAGTCTTACCCCCCCACGTGGGATTGATTACATGAATTGTCTGATGCCACTGTACTTTATCAAAGAGCAAAAAAACACCGCCAGTCTTGAGACTTGAAGCCAACTTTAAAGTAGCTGAGACAGAAAGAATCATCATCCTAAAATTTCCATCCAACTGGAATAGCTCTGCCATTTGCAAATGAAATTTTATCTTAAAAAGCACGAATCAGCTGGGTAGAAGTACAAGCAGATTCCTATGTTAGCATGAGCTCAGGAACAATGTGCCACCACAATTTCCATCCTCCCACATTGATAGATGGGCAATAGTAAAAGTATTTTCTCTTCCCTCACTCCAGCTTTTTATATTCAACTACGGCATCATATGTTTCAATACTATAAGAACTCTCAGCAAAACACCTACAATAATATATGGTATTAACTTCTGCCATTCCACCGTTCGCCAAAAATACAAGTTCTCAATTCCCAGTAGATTTAAAAAAAAACTAGAGAAAACTATAATAAAGATAGTTCGATCATGTCTTCACTTCTCCAAATAACAATAACAACTAGAAGAGTCATTTGAAACAAACAAGACAAGGCCAGTTGATTAGGTGGAATGTGCCATCTTCTTATTGCTTCTTGAAGAGTGATCTTGCACTTGCTTATAGTTCATATTTATTCCATACAATCTGCATGAAGAAAAATTTCCTCATCTAGATAGCCCCAAACAGAGAAGGTGTCACTTAAAATGCTGCCTGGAAGTAAAAACTTCCTCAAGCAGCAAATGTTGTCTTTTCAGTCATCTTCGCTCATGGGACACATAATATTGTCACTACATAACATGAAATCTTCTCTAATATACCTCTGATACCTAGACCTACTAATATTGGGGGAGGGGGAACTGATATTGAATATAAAGCTCCAAGGGAATTGACAAGTAGAAGTACACAAATCAGAATATTAAGCCAATGATTTGAAATGTAAAAATAAGGTGACAAGCAACATAACAACAAACAAATTACATATGCCCACTGTAGTAGAAATGACAGGATATTGAAAAAGCAGTCAAAATAGAAGCTTCATAGACTCATAACAGCAATAGGCCTTGTCCCTATGCAAGATCGACTACATGGATTGCATGATATTATTGTGCTCTATCATCAACTAAGTTTTTAAGAATATTATTAATTAAAAAATCTCATTTAACAACTTTCACAAGTGCTCTCTTTGGTTTTCCTTAACCTCTCTTTACAAGGCTTACTCCTTACCAATGCTTCACATAACCTTTTCTATACATGTCCAAACCATTTCAAACAATTTTCTATCATTTTCCCCATAATAGGTGTCATACCCACTTTTTCTCGTATATGCTTATTTCATATTTTATCCTTTCAAGTATGCCCACACATCTCTTTCAACATTCTTATCTCTATTACTCCAACTTTATGTCCTATTATCTCTTTAAAGCCCAACATTTACTACCATATAATATGACCAGTCTTATAGCAGTTTGATGAAATTTTGCCTCTAAGTTTATTAAGTACCTTTTGGTCACAAATAACTCCTTTAGCCTTTTTTTACTAACACTATCCAACTTATATCCTATGCGCAACATCCCCATTATAACAACAACAGCAGCATCATAATATGTCAAATTGGATTATATTCTAGATTTATAAAAGACTTAAGCACCTTAGTTCATGCCAAAAGATGCCAGCTTTATCTTGCAAGAAAGGACGGAGAGGTGATATAAACCTCTCTTCAACAACAAACTGTCCAGAAGCAACTTTTTCCTCCAGCCATGCAAGATACTGTAAGGCTGCCACATGAACAATGACAGCTGGATCTGGGTCACCAAGAACAGCTTGTAGTTCCCTCCGTATCCATGGCTCAATCTTTTGCAGTGTTTTCTCTCTTAACAAACTATTTCTTGATTTAATCTGAACATTTCAATAATAAAAACTAAAACACATTAATGTAAAAGAGAAGAGAAGTGCTTTCTGTTGTATCTGAGAGAGAGAGAGAGAGAGAGAGAAGAGAAGTAGTTGTGCATGTTTTATAATAACACAAAAGTTAAAGCCGTCATCCAAGACAAACTCTTTTAACTAAGGAAAAAAATTAATTTCATATAGAGGCAAAAGTGGAAATATAAGGAGCAATAGATGGGGGCAAAAAAGCCAGCACAATGAACAAATTCATGAAAAAAAAATTCTGATATTCTGATTACAACATAGAAAGACACTTCAACATGTAAAATATGAATTATTGAAAAAGTTTCTGTAACTGATGAAAGAGAAGCATTCAGAAAGTTGTGTAAATAATAGATCAATAGTAGTGAATGTAAAAATTAAAGAACAACTGAATCTTCATTATTTCCACTAAACATAACGTACCTGATCAAGATGGCTAGAGGTTAAAGGAACTGCCTTCAACTGCTTCTTATATATGCTGTAAGTAAAAGCAATTATAATGGATGAAAAGAATTACATTAGCAAAACCTTGGAGTCAAGTTATTTACAGAAGAAAAAAGAGACAGTAACTGAAAATATAGTTAGGCTTACAGAATCATAGATTTATAATGCGTAAGTCCAAAGTTTATGTACCTTGCACGCCAATCAAGTTTCCTTTGAGAAATAGCTTCGGTACTCGCATGTCCAGGACGTCCAAATGACCGCCGCCATAGCAGTGCCTTAGTTCGCCTTTCATCTAAAGCAGCTCTTGTTCTATGAAGAAGTCTAAATATGATCGCATAAAAAACATACTGAAACGTGTGTACTATGCATAAAGACCCAAAAACATTTTTACCAGGAAAAGAAGCCTGAGAAACAAGATAACTGTTCAACCAAACAGTTTCATCGGCTTCAGTTTGTTCAGTAAAATCATTATACAAATAATCTCTGACAGCACGTTCATTGATTCCATTCAATGAAAGATGAAAGCAAAAATCTAGAACATGCTAGCCACCAAATTTAATAATTAACCTCAATAAAAGGACCTTGTTTTCCTCGACAGTATACAATCCCAAAGATCAGAAATAACCTTTCCGTCCCTTTTATTAATTTCTCGATAACCAAACCAGGAGGGAAATGCTAACAAGAAAAATAATGAAAAGCAAAGTCGAAGAAGAATGAACTCACCTAGAGGCATTTACACGGCTTGCACTAATTTCTTGATGAGAATTTTGGGTTAAATCATCAAAGGGTAACACCTCCTTCTAGAACTCTCTGGAGGAAAGACTGAGCTTACAGAACCAAGACTTGAAGTTTGCATTACAGAGGGGACACCTTCTTTTCAAGCCACTCCATTTCCGAATGCAATCGATGCAGTAGGCGTGCATACACACGGAGAGGATTGCAGCTTCCTTGTAATGATCTTCAAGGTTTTTGAAACATATCGGACAAGCATGTCCCTGAATTGAAGGCCAAATTACTTTCCTCACTAGCTTCTCCTGCTCCCACCTCCGCCGCGTCATTCGCTGGCGATTCAATTCCATGACAGAACCATTCAATCACCGTTCACCGATAGAAGCTAGAAACTTTGATCTCCGAAGAACGAAGCAGGAGGCAGTTCAAGGGCCCTAATAAGGGTGGACCGGTCGAGGCGGTACACCCTTCACAGAGGCACGTGCGGTTCTTACTAACGATGTCAACTTTTAATCCTTACATTTTCAAGCCGATTCACATATATTTAAAAAAAAATATCAAGTAATATTTATTTTTATTATTATTATTAAATAATAATATAATTATATTAAGTATTTTCAACCGATTCACATATATTAAAAAAATAATATCAAGTAATATTTATTTTTATTTTTATTTTTAAATAATAATATAATTATATTAAATATTTTTATACTAATTAAAAAAGAGTAAAATTTAAAAAATGATTTAATTATTATAAATTATCTTAAATTTTAGATAAAAAATTACTTTTAAAAAACATCTTATAAATCCCACAGGTAGCATAGTTTAGCAAGAATATTAGTTTTAGCAAGGGAATGAAGTTTAAGATTAGAACTATAATCACTTAAATATGTGTTTTAAATTTGAGCTTCTATTAATTAAAAATGTGTTTAAAACCGTGATGGTTCTTGCTGCAAACCAAACATGCCCTTTCAGTAATTATTAATATTAATTGTTTTTTAGCCAAAAATTATTAATATTAATTGTTAATTATTACCATCACTACTAATTGTTTTTTGAAGTAATTAATAATGATAACAATATTATAATAATAATGATTTATTTTTATTTTCATCTTACGTGGGCGAACGAAAAAACGAATTGGGGTTTTCAAAAAAGGAGCGCGTCAGGCTCGGGGCCTCTTTGTCTTTCACATCAGTGTCTAGTCTCAGAAGCACTCAATCTTTCTGCTCACATCTGTTAATCATGGAAGTTCCGAAGGATCAAATCGCTACCCTTCTCGAGAATGGCCTCTGCGGCTCTGCTCAAATGCTCGTAATTTCCTATTCCGCATCTGAATTTGGGTTATAAAATAAAGAATCGTTGTTTTTCATTTCAGTGATAGTCTAATTCCCAATTTTCGTCTGGACAGGGTTGTTTTCTTGTTTCGTCACCCACTGTTAATGCTGAAACCAACCTACACCTCAAAGCCGAGAGCCAGGTTCTGGAAATTTTAATTTTTTTAACATAATTTCCTCCTTGTTTATTTTATTTTCTTTGCATTGCGCTGAAATTTCCCATCTCCAAGAGTTTGTTAAAGTTGGTAATTTCCTTCTTTTGCAGGCGCTTCTAGGTGATTCATTGTTCCGCGAAAGGGAGTTTCGCAGAGCCATTGTAAGTGATCCCTCCTGAAATGGGTTTGTTTATTTGGATATTGAAGTCTTTTTAACTCTTCTGTTGATGAGCAGCACAACTACAAGCAAGCTTTGCAATACTACAAGATGATTCCTAAACAAAACCCTCCGTCATCTCGGAGTTCACTGTCCTCAAACAGGTCGTCTTCTCCAAATTCTTATGGTGTATCAGCAATCAATGAAAATGAGGTGTAGTAACTTACTTCCCTTTGTTTTTAGTTGATCTTAGTTTGACTACCCCTGTAAAACTTAGAAATTATCGCATGTCCAAATTATTATTTTTTTCTTTCTCTCGATATAATAGGTGAAGTTCAAAATTGCATCATGTCACTATTCCCTGAATGAAAATAAGGCAGCTCTTGTCGAGGTTTGTATGTTCTCATTCTATCTTCCATTCTCTTTGGGGAGGGATTCAAGATTGCGATGAAATACTATAAATGGTTTTGCTTTGTATATTTGTTCACTTATACGGCCCGTTTTATGATGGGAAACATGTTACGCCATTACAAAGTATAATTTATAATACATTCCTATTTTGTTACCATTTCGTTCATATTTCACTAATTATTTGTCGCTTGCACACTACAGATGGAAGGAATTCCAAGCAAAGCCAGAAATTTGCAGATGAATTTATTATTGGCGAAGCTTTATCGAAATTCTAGACATAATCGAGCTGCTCTTGCAATTTACAAAGAATGTCTAAGGTTTGTCAAGCGAAATTCTCTAAACTAAATTGATTGCTTGTTTCATTTGTTGATAGTACCAAATACATCATGAGCTCACTCATGGAACTGACTTATAATTTTTTAGTTCTGCCTATTCCACAAGCTTTTTTTTTTTTAATATGTATAATATTATTGACTTTTAAAATCAAACTTCCTTATGGATTTCTTTCTGACAGACTTTGTCCTTTCATAATTGAGGCTATCACAGCTTTAGCAGAAATGGGATCTACTGCAAAGGATATTATTTCATTGTTTCCTCAGGTTTGTTGATAAAATCAGGGGAAAAAATTTAATGCAGGCTGACCCCCAGCTAAGGATTCATTTAATTACTGCATCTCTTCCTCTTCTTAGGTCAATTAGGTACTCAAGAACAGAGTATTATCTTTTTAGGCTTTATCCTATATAATGCTGTCTTTATGTGCTAACAGCACTACTTTTTTTATCAGCTAATTATTTGTGAATTCAGATGTAGTCATACAATAGTGGACTTTTACATCATTTGCATTATCAAAGATACTCTACTCCTAAAAACAGAAACCTTTTACATTATGATCTAGTTATGTTGATCATTTGCCTTTTCTTCCGCCACTTTGGGTCTGCTCTCACCTGCTGCATGTCTCTCTGTTTTACTACATGACTCTCTCTAATTTGATAGGTTCATTTCCTTTATGAATGTGAATTTATCGATTTTCTCTCTTCTGTCAATGTAATCATCTCTTCTTAATATTCATGCAAGTTGATTTGGTCTAAGAGACAAGTTTGTGGGCATTCTGAAATATTCTGCCCCTTAAAAATACCTAAATGAGATTGTAAAATTCATTCTTTAGAATTTCTTGAAATACAGATAACTTGTATCATAATAGCATTTATATGTTGTCTTGGTCAAGCTTACTTGTTTAAAAAATAAATTGTAGTTCAAATATTTTCCAATATTGTAACATAATAATTGATGTCTAATCATTTAATGTCAGAATCCAAATAGAAGTGGGAGAGCTCAATATGATAATCTTGAATCATGCCGTTGGCTTCAGGTAAGTTGGACATGAGATAGTAAAAATTCTCTGTTGCCACTTTATTGCAAGTCAATCCTAATTTGCATGGTCAATATATTCCATGAATTCCTCCAGAGGTGACTCTACCTGAATTGTTACGGACTGAATTAATAAAGATTGATGTTTATGGGAATATTTTTGGTGGTTAAACAATAGACCTAGAGTGTACTGAGCTGAACATGTTGATCTCACAAACAGCACATCAAGATGAAGGAGCAACACTAACCCAAGGATCACAAATCGGCCATAGCAGCATAGCGCTCAAAACAACATCTCAGCAGCATAGAAAGTTGAGAAAATTGAAGCCAGTAGACACTAGACACACACTAGCATTGGAGAAGCCAGCACTCCCACAAATTCCTCTAATCTTGTTCACACTCTCTCCCCAGTGGGTTCTTCTCCAATCCTGACTGCCATTTCCAAGTAACTTTCAACTCCCCCCTACCTCAGCTTAATGAGGCATTCATTATCTTGAATTTCTTTCTTCCTCACCTCCACTTCCACCTTTCTTAATTCTTCTAGAATATAATCTTTGTTTTCCAGATCCATCCTTTCCCTTTCTTCCATTCTTCATCATCATGCTCCTTCAGTGAGTTTTAATGTGGCTGGCAGCTGTTGGCCCATGAGAATGTGACCCTATATAACAGTCTTGTTATCTAACGTTAATGCATGGCCATAAAGATAGGCTAGGAAAACAAAATTGTAGTTTGATGGTGCAGTCACATTTCTTTTTCTCTTAAATGCGACATCATCTGTAAATCTGATAGTTTCCTCTTTCCTTATAGCGCTATGTTGAGGCTCAGTGTTGCATGGCTTCAAATGACTACAAAGGTGAGTTAGCTATTATATTTTATATGGAGTCTCTTAGTTCCATGCCTTTTTCCTCAAAAGTTGAAGGATCTCATTACTGGTGAAATTCATGTGATCTAAGGGTGTAGTGAGTTTGCTTGCACAGAGAGATTACACCAATTACTTTACAATCTGCCACCATAAGTTGTTCTTTGTCTATGTCACCGTAAATGCTGTCTTTTCTTCCTGAGAGCCTTGAAATTAGCACAGCTTTGTACATTAGATATTCTGCCCGCAAATTCTCATTGTGCCATTGAAGAGGGTCACTCACTCCTAATGCTACTTCAAAACATGACCAACAACAACAACTAGCCTTATTTCACTAGGTGGGGTTGGCTAACTTTGGAATAAGACCAAAAGGGAAAACAAAAAAGAAAGAAAGATAGGTGGGATATGGATTTGATGAAATAATAAATAAGTAAACAAAGGGTGTTGTAAATTGTTGTGTCAAGTTACTTGTTATGTATGTGACCCCTTATATATTTCAGTCCTGTACAAAATTTGAATTGAAGAAAGATGCTGTTATTTAAAATTGTTTGCACTCTTCTGAGATATGTGTTTGATGCATACAGTTTTATCCATTCTAAATTTTGGCAGGTGGCTTGGAACTATTTGAGGATCTTTTGCAACGTTTCCCTAACAATATACACTTGCTACTTGAGATTGCGAAGGTTATATTTGCTACATTGGGTTAAAGCCTGTGAAAATTGCCTAAAATTTATGGTTGTTGCTTTGTGTTCATTGGCAGCTTAATTGCAAATATCTGTCTTTTTCAGGAGCAAAAGACTTTTGACTTATTAAGTCGACAGCGGAATTGCTTTATTTAAATATTTCTTTTTTCTATATTATAATCTTGTTCTAGATGGTCTAATTTCCTAGTTTCTTTAGAGACTTTTGGTTACAGAATCATCATATTTTTCTACTTTTGTCTAGGGAAACACTTCTAGATATGTCGTTAGAAACTTGAAAATTAGATGGTATTGATGATAGCAGCATGATTTTGAGAAAATCACTAACTGTTTCATGAATAATTTTTGAGAAAAAAATTTGACTTCTGGGAGCTTAAGAAAGTACTCTTCTATGTGTGTGCAATTAAGGGAAAATAAAATAATTGGAAATATGTTCTTTGATCTGTCCTTAGAAAATATGCAGAACCACTTTTATGCAGTCTACTGTCTGCCTAAACATTCTGCACTTTTTTCTTAATGCTTCTCTTTTGGTTGAAATTTTTTATGTCAATACTATTTCTGGATTTGGGTACCTCTCATTGTATCTTTGCTCAGTGATTTATGCTTTACCCTGCTTCTCTTGTTATAGTAGCAGTTGTATAAATGGCCGTAGTCACGAGGGTAAGGTCAACAAGGAGACAAGAAATATGTTATTGTTCTATTATACTAATTGTCTTTCTGTAACAATGTTGTTTTCAGTTTTAATAGTCTGATTATGTGCTTTCTGTCCTGTACCTATCTATTTACTATTTTTTATTTGGTTCAGCTGGGCTATTAACTCTAAAATATTATGTGTTATTATGTCATATACTTTTGAGACGTCCTAACAAGTTACCAGACCTTACAACTTCAGCTTTTCAACATTTATCACAGAAAAAAGTTGCTTTTCTCCCACATCTTGAAAGAATAGATGTTCACTTATAATCTGTTAATAGATTGTTTATTATATTTTTTTTCCCTTTTATATGTATTTGAAGTACAGCCAGGAATATTACGTACCTAGTTCTGCGATTTCTTATTTGGATTGAAAATGAGAACTTCAATACTAGGTTTTTGAGTTTCTGTCTTGTGACAGATGCCCTTTCTGTTCTCTTTGTTCTAGTTGGAAATGTTAAGCCATGAAATTTTGAATTTCAATTATTGTTTATCTTTCCTCAAATAGTGCTCTTTCTAAAAAGATGTCATTTTGTTGTCCATTGGTGTAGCAATTCTTGCAGAGACCAAAATCAATTAGTTCTTTTTGGTTGATTTGTGAAAAATAGTATCCAACAGGGATGCTGCATGTCTCTCTAAGGTTACCTCTTACCAGTATTACATTGTCATGTCATAATGCCAAGACTAGCTGATTTGGCAAGTCAAGCAGTGAATAAAGTGAGACCTTACCGGAATATTTGTTGAAGGAATGTACTCATGCAAATCTATGTACATATCCATTTGTCATGTGTATGAGTTACTGAAGGTTGATGCTTTGAATCATATTATTATTTAGAAATTGTGTATAATATATTGGAAATCCTTTTCACAAGTTGTCTGACTGTCAGAGACCGTATACCCCCTTATTATTTCTATTGTACATCTAGTTCCTTGAATTGATTGCTTGGCAGTCTATTATGGATTCTGATGTATATTGTAAACTTGCAAATGAAGGTCGAAGCTATCATTGGGAAGAATGAAGAGGCCATCATGAATTTTGAGAAGGTATGTGAAGTTGTTGTCCATGATGTTGACACATCATTATTGAAATTTCTCTTCCGACCAACCCACACCATATGCTTATGTGATAATTTGGTGATAACAGGCTCGGTCAATTGATCCATACATTATAACATACATGGATGAGTATGCAATTCTTTTAAAGTTGAAATCTGATCATTCAAAGCTGAACAAGTTAGTGCATGATTTGTTAAATATTGATCCTGCAAGACCAGAGGTTTTTGTAGCTCTATCTGTTCTGTGGGAAAGGAAAGATGAGAGAAGAGCACTATCTTATGCCGAGCAGGTTATGACTTATTTATTTTCGTAAAAAAAAAAAAAAAAAGAAGCAGGGTGGGTTGTATTCCTCTATCATAGTATTGCTTACAATATGAGTGATTATTTTGCGAACAGAGCATTCGAATCAATGAAAGGCACATACCAGGATATATAATGAAGGTATAAATATAACTATTGTGTCAGATGAAATGTGGTTCTATCTGATTAATGTGTTTGTAGCGGCTTATTACATCATTTTGCAATTTGTTCTGACATGTTGAATTTATTCAGGGAAATTTATTATTGAATATGAAACGGCCAGAAGCAGCTGTGGTTGCCTTTAGGGGTGCTCAAGAATTGAGACCTGACATTCGCTCATATCAAGGTTTATTTTATTATGGGAAACATGGATAGTTGCATGATCTGTATCTAAAATCTGCAAGAGAATGAAAGCCCTAAACTTTTCTGTCATGAATCTAAATTAAACTTTCAGGTTTGGTTCATACTTATTTGGCTCTCTCTAAAATTAAAGAGGCTTTGTATGCTTCAAGAGAAGCAATGAAAGCAATGCCTCAATCTGCAAAGGCTTTAAAACTCGTTGGTGATGTACATGCAAGTAATTCTAGTGGCAGAGAAAAGGTAAACATGTGGGGATAAGTATCTGCAGAATACTTTGTTTCTAAAGTTTCCTTATGTGTTAAACATCATGCATCTTTTTTTAACAAAATATCATGCATACTTCAAACAGGCAAAAAAGTTCTATGAGTCGGCATTAAGGCTGGAACCAGGTTACCTGGGAGCTGCCCTAGCTTTAGCTGAGCTCCATGTTATTGAAGGCCGGAATGGAGATGCTGTGTCTCTACTTGAGCGATATCTGAAAGACTGGGCTGATGACTCCCTTCATGTAAAACTAGCTCAAGTTTTTGCTGCTACTAATATGCTGCAGGACGCTTTGTTACATTATCAGGCTGCATTAAGGTTGATCACCTCCTTTTGTCTTAATGCCTGCACAATTTTGGCATTTTTCCTTGCAAGCTATGTAGAGTAAATTATATTGACTTGACTTCCTTTTATGTCAGCAGTATAATACCCACGATCTTGCATTTGATATATTGAAAGAACCTTATTATGTGCTTTCTGTCAATGTAGATAGCTTTGTGCACTGGGCGCCATCTTTTCAGAGCATGATAACATTATTTCCTCTCATTTTCCAAAAGCAGTCTTACCTTTTTTTCTTGCATTATTTATTGTCCTTATGATGAATGCTGCTTGTCTGTTAAGATGACAAAGCCAAAGTGATGCTTAGTTGTTAGTGAAGCCCCCACGAGACTGATTTTATTTTTGATTTGATAATAAGAAAAACTAGGTAATTTCATGTTTGGAGGGAACAAATCTTGTGCAGAAAATTGACTTTACTGATGGGAAGTAAATACTGGGAAGATTTTTCCTATTCATTTCATGGGTCGGGTTAGAAACGGGTTGGGTATTAGATGCAATATGTTTCATTGGCTATTGCATTTTACTCTAGCTAGAATTGGTATTATAACAAGGTTTCTTTATTTGCAGGAGTATGCATGATGTGTTTCTGTGCTCATGAATTTTCCCTATTTGCAATAATAAGTTCTAACTGCTAGCATGCATTGCAGGTTAAATCCACAGAACGAGGCAGCAAAACGCGGGTTAGAGCGTTTAGAGAAGCAGATGAAGGTTTGCTCTTTATCATCAATCACTACCTACCTTTCTCATTGTCCTCCACCTATTCATGCACCTTTTTACATGCTTGATTATGGCAGGGAGTGGATCCAGATGCACCTGAAGAAGATGATGACAATGATGTTGAAGATGCTGATGGAGACCAAGAAGAAACTGAACTCTTGTGATATTATTAGTGGCAAAATTTCTGATAATATGAAGTGCTTCTGCTGGTAGTTTATTGTGACTGGCATTAGCAGTAGGGTGAAAATTACCATGGTGGCCAAGAAGCTCTGTTTGTCTTTGGGCAGCAAGAGTTCACATCAGGAAGCTATAATTTGCAATCACTGCCAACTGGGGCACATAATGATAATGTACGTTATGAATTTGGAATGAGGGACGTAGCGGATGAAATTCCTCGTCGAGACTGGACAGTAGGAACCGGACCTGGGAGGAGAATCAAGTTCCAACTGAGCGGGCCATATATGACTCCTAGCTGGTAGCTTTTGCGATCTCCATTGTACATTTTCTTTGTTCACGCTTTTATGCTTGTAATAGCTATGCTTTGGTTAGAAATTTCTTGACAGCCACCTTCACTTCCTGTATCAGTATACTTCACTTGCAAAACATTTGTCCTTGCTTATGCTTCAGGCTAGGCCTAATGCTTATGTCAAGGAGGGGGGAAGTCCTTGCTCATCTGTCTAATGGCTGTGCACTTTCATAGATCTTGCTTTGATTGATGTTGAAAGTTACTTTATTTTAATAATATATATTTAATCTAATTTAATTATGCATCATTGTCTTTCATAATTCATTTTCTTCTAATGTCATACTAATATTTAGAAATTCATTTCAATTATGCTGATCATTCCTTTGTTTTGAAAATATTCACTAACGTACACATTGCACATATCTCTTTTAACTTATTGTTTTTGTTCAAAGAAATCAAATTTTCACACATACTAAAAGTTTACTTCTTTCTGAACATAGAAATAAATGGTTAAGCTCGTTTTATACATTTTGGGCAAAAACTTAATTTACTGATAAGCAGAAAATTGGAAAAAATTACAACATAAGCATGTGACAGTCAACAAAATGTTCAACTAAATATGATATTAGATCTAATTTAATTAAATATCAAAAGAAGTTAACGTAATTCACTCATTTATTTCCTAGAAAATCTAGTTATATCGGATGTTGTCTTCCCATCTCTCATCAACAAAATTCTTTTATGGATAGACAAGAATAAAATTCATTGCCTATCTAACGAACTGATAAACGGAGGAAAACAAAATGCTAACATATACACAGTAAAAGGGCTGTGGTTGTTTAAGTTGAATTCATTGATTCAAATATGTACAAGTTGAACTCTTCCACATTTTCTGAAATTCATTGGCATCATTGACCACTCAAAACACTTCGCTATACATGAAAAGGCTTCCTAGGGGTATGTGCTCGATTTTCCATTGATTGCAATCTCTGCTTGAGATGAAAGACTTCAACCTGCAAAGCAGAAAAGAAGATTTTAACGTTAATTTTTTTGTCAAGATCAAGAAAGTACATAATATCAATTATGCAAATCGTATGAACATGCATAGTCATTTGTCAATTAACGTTAAGAGAAGATTTTAAACTTCATTTTTTTCCCACTTTTTCCGGGGCACATGCTTTACCATCAATATTTTACCTGTAATTGGAATGCCCTGGCTCTTTCTCCTGCGAGAACTCCTCTTGTTGAATGTAACTCCTACAGCAAATTTTCAAATCAACCAACAGCACCTTGTATCAAGTATGCAAATTGAAGTCAAATGATGCAGCATATACCTTCTGGGTATCATCCAAAACAGCCTTGAGGAAAGCCACATCATGTTCAAGCCTTACATTGTCAGAATGGACAATGTTTGATAGGCTATTAGCCTCTTCTTGGGCTAACTCTACACTAGCTAGTTTCTCCCTCAGCAATTCCATCTCCTTTGCTGTGTCAGCCAATTTTTTTTCCATCTCTTGCCTACTTTTAAGAACAGATGCTATGCTTTTCTCTGCAGCTTCTCGGCTTGCCAGTGCCGCTGCCAATTGTCCCTCGAGAATCCCATTTTTCCTTATGAGTGCAGCCATTTTAGTTTCATAGTATTGATAGATATTTGAAACGGACGATGGTTCTGCTTTACTGATTTCTGGGAATGACACATCATCACTTTCTATCACTAGATTTCCATATCCTAGGTTTTGTTGTTGGTACTGTGACTCCTCTACACTGATCTTGGCTCCGCTTGTGTTCATCTGATTTCCGGTATCATTTTGATTGATTCTGCGATCTGTTGCCTGATACATAAAAGTTTGCAATTTCTTACACATTTCTTCATATATGTTGGCATCAATTGAGGGTAAGAATAAGGATTGGAATAGCAATAAATGTTCCATGTTTACTACAGCTTGAAACATTCTGGACATTACATTATATGGTTCAGACTTCTCACCGTCCAAAAGAATATAATGATAATTTTAACCGTGATAAAGGTGAACCGGCTCATCAAAATGAACCGTGAAAAAGGTCACACAAAATATGTCTCAAATATAATTAGGCATATGGATTTGGAACCACATAACCAAAATGAACCATGAAAAAAATCCCATAAAATGCCTCAAATATAGCTAGGCATAGTAATTTGGAACTACATAACCAAAGTCTCAAAACACGTGGTCTAGGGATTAAGACACCACAGACTGAAACAAGGGGAAAACTCTACAGGATATTTATAAGGGGAATGGCCAAGGAGCATTTATTATGTCGCTTTGAAAAAGTATTTGTAAGCTAGTTTTCTGGGTGTCCAAGAAGTGTTGTATATTAAAATGATATGAAATTGAGACTTCTCACCCTTACCTGAGGGAAGCAACCATCCACTTCTGCAGTCTTGTCTATCCTGACATCTGTGTCGTAATCTTCTTCATTATCAAATTGCCTGCGAAGAGACACGTTACTAGATAGAGAATTGGAATCTGCAAGCAGAGACTCTGACAAAGATTTCCTTCCAGAACCATGTTCAATAACAGAAGCTAGATTTTGTCTAGCAACAGAGTTAACTAATCGCTGTGAAGGATCACTAGGTTGAGGGGGCAATGCAGCAGTTGATGAATGCTTGTCAAATATTATAGAACCAGGACCTTTAGTGGGAGTGCTATGTCTTCCAAGACCTGGTTCATTTTTTTCAATTATCAACACTTCCACCTGTTCAAGTTCATAAGGAAAAATGTCGGAAGTTTTAACTGTAACCAACTCACAAAACAACTTATAAGACTTTTTGTCAGACCTGATTCGATGGCTCCTTTTTGAATCCACCAAATGCAACAAGAAAGTCCTTTTCCTTATGTTGCACAAGTACGAGGCTAAAACCCTGGCCATACAAAAGATCTTAGAAACATGTTTGGATAATATAGTTACAAGAAAGCATATATTGTCAAGCATGCTTACCACATCTTGTAAGGGAAAGCGCAAGGAGGGTAGGTCTCAAAATGACAAAAAAGATTTATGTATATGTTGGACTCAGTGCAGAATCAAGGCATAATATAACATCAGGTCATTAGTAGCGAGCTACACATTCTAGCATTTGTAAAATTTAAAGTTTATCAGATGACAGGATCAATAAAAATTCATTTAGAACAAAGCCAGAGATTTCATCAACAAGATTAAACACGTCCAATCAAAGCCCAAACTTCATCACTAGTCCAGATGGGGCTTCAAAAATGAAGAATTATTTTCTCCCTGCTCAGCGCAAAAGTTTTAATTGCAGATGGCCAAATAGATTACATTGAAGAAAATACTCAAAATAGCTTTTAATTAATTACAGTAAATGAAGAAAAAGGAAATAACTCACCTTGTTGGTAGTGATTGAAGACTGAGGTAATGTGTTTGCCACAGACCATTCCACTTTTATAATATCAAATATTAGAGTCTCTGTATGTCCTAAAAAATGAATCAAGGAACTGAGATTGCTCTTTTCAAAGAACAAAATTTTTTAAGTGATTGTTGAGCAGGTATAAACATAAAATAAAACATTTAATTAATAGTTTCAGTACATACTGCAGCTCAATCCATAAATAAGCGTGAACCTTAAGTGAACTTAAAATCTACTTCATGGACATTAAATTAATATAGAGATCGTTTTCACCTAGTTCTATTTACAAATTCACAAGGAGCCATGGAAAGTTGATGCATGGTTTCTATGCTATTTTCAAAATTCTCTTTTCATATTTCTCTTTTTCCCATTCTGTTTCCTCCAAAAATAAGTATCCTTGCTCCAGTGCTCAAGAGAAGCTTCTTCATGTTCTAGCTGACAAGGATTAGATGACACGCCCTGATTTCAAATGTTGCCTTAAGTTCTAAAACACCAAGTCTCAAACTCCATACTTTTAAAGTCTTAAATCTAATACAATGACTTGAAAATATGTAAATATAAATCTTAAAAAAAAAAAGTTAACGTTCATGCAATATTTGCTTTTCCAAAATTGAAAAAAAGTGGTTATAAAAACGTACTCTTTTTCTTACTTCCACCCCCTGTAATGTACCACTTAGTACCACAAAGAACACTGCAGCAGCCAGCCCGAGGTGAAGGGTGGAATCCTCTTATCTTCATTCTTGACCATGCCATCTGAGGAACAGATCCTTTCATCAAATTATGTAGGTAATGAAGATTTGAATTGTTCCAATGATAAATTAATCAGTTTCACTAAATAGAATTGCAGTAAGGACTTAGTAAAACCAAAAGCTTATGCACCGTTTCAAAGTCAAGTGAGTATAAATCATTTAAGGTCCTGGATTTTGATGCTCCTCCAAATATGAAAAGAATCTTATCATCATAAAGTGCAGCCACATGGTTTGATCTTGGAGAAGGTCCAGTCCCCCTGAAAGTAATAAAATAATTCAGCAGGGATGAGGAACACTGAGATCCCAAATTTCACAAGCATGTTAAAATTTATAACATGATTTGTCATTAGTTAACCACATTGGAGTCCAGCCTTTTCAATATTTCATCTACTTACGTGCAGTGAAGTGGTAGCCATGTCAAGGACTTGAGATCAAACATATGCAGGTCATTCAGTTTCCTCCTTTTGGCATCTTCACCACCAAATAATATCAATACTGCGCTTGCCCTAAGAACAGTGTGCCCACTGCGAGCAACCTATATGTAGGACACAATATTTAGTCATTACAGCCAAATTACATTATATAGAGTTCTGTGCGTCAACTTCAACATAGAGGCTTGAATTGAAGAAAACAAAGGGCGCTGCATAGAGTTCTGTGCATCATTACAGATTTTATTCCCATATTTTTCTTGTTCAGTTGTCCGTGCTGATTACTTCCTGACATTGGACCTTATCAGATGTAATATGAGAATTGCACCCTTCTCGTGGATTATTGGCATCATATATTAATATACTTGAGCAAATTATATAATCCAGAAGCACACTCCCAATAAGTAGGATCATTATAAAAGACAATGCCACTGATCTAGTTATACCACAAGGACGATTTTGCTTTTAATGAAGTGAAAATTCCTACCGGTATGTCTCCTTTTGCTTCAACATGTGACCAGCACTCTGTCTCTGTATCAAATGCCCACACTAAAAACACCAAAGAAATTAATTAAATCAATTTGACAGTATAAATCAGAAAAAAGCTATTATATGTGTGAAGGACATGCAGATGAACCTGAAATTCTGTCACTTCCTGGTTCTGTTTTCCCTCCAATCAGAAGCGCCTTTTCCCCCCAGGAAACCTGTTCACGCCAAGATTTTATAAGTACAAACTTAGCAACCTCGATTATTTTATGCATTTTCCTTTGTGTTGCTCAATAATTTGACATTGACCCTTTAATTCTTTTTCATTTGACTTCTGGACTTGGCATCATGTGATATTGGCAGTCATGCAATGAATTTATCAAAATTTAAGATTTGATGAATACCTGTATTTTAATTAACTTTCCCACCAATTATCTCATTGTTGGAACTATTTAAACACCTCACAAAGCCCACCAGTTAGTTACAAGCTCTGCCTAATATGTATAGTTCCAATAACAGCACATTCTTAGTTTTCAGCACTTACTGGAGAATATTGTACATGAGCCCATGAGCACATATAGATGGGCAGTTTTTCAACTTTCATGGGAAGTTCACCTTCTCAACTTTTCAATGACAGACAAGATGCTCCATGTGCAGTACAATGAAGCAATATCAAATGTGAAACACCAAGATTATAGCAAACAGGATAGCTATGATAGGGCATAACAACGCAAACCAGATACCAATATGCTGAATGTTTTATGCTAATAGGATATATTATAGTACCAAGCTGTGACCCTTGCATGCTGGAATCTTTAGTGGCAGACTGCTAGGTGACAAGTAAAGCTTTGATGATGCTGTGGTCCAGGAAAATCTATCAAAACTCAGTACCTGTATCACAAAGAAATGTATCCAAATCAGAGTTTGCAAGATGAACAAACAAAAGAATCAGTTAATATTAATTTTCGTTCTCATTTTGAGATAAAAAAACAATCTCTTCATCAAGATAAACAGTTAATATTAATCAAGAAAAGGCTTTCAAAAGTTTGTTATCAAGTTTCCAAAAAAAAAAAAACGATGGCTTGTGAAGGTAAGCTTTCAAAGACCCAATTGATTGGTGCTGAACTGTACCAAAAGATATCCACCAGATAGGTGTTTACAGTAGTACTTGTTAGCCAAAACTTAAAAAACTATACTTATGGTTTCTCCATCCAAGAAATGTTTTTTCACCTGCACGTCATCCAACAATCCATTACCAGATTCACCACCAACCACTATCATCTTATTCCCAACGACAGCTGCTGCATGCTGCTCATAATGAATAACACATCAGACTTTCACCATCTCTGCTATTCTGGGAGAATTTTCACACTACTGCTCTTGGCATAAGAACCCAGGAACAAAAATAAAATGAAATAGGAATCATGAAATTATCTACATTGGATCTAGGAGTGGGCTTATTCCCTGAGATTGACAACACCATCCAATGTTCTGAGTTGCTTGGCGTACAATTACTAATCTCAGGCACAGCAGATGAACGTTGGCCATCAGGTTCATCAGGATGACCATCTGTCCCAGCAACTCCCTCAGCCTGAAAAAGAATATGAATTTAGTAGCACTATATATACGGGATTTAATACAACACGGACAAGGTGACACAACATAATATACGGTGTTTAAATGCAATTTTAAGTGCCGTCTCCTGTTTAATTGAGTCTCAAATACATATTGAACATTGAAGGTTCCAATTTTTTTTCCCAGTATTGCATCGGTACTTTATAAGTACACATAACGGAGTAAACCTTCAAGGAATGAGTATGTGAAGCTTACATTGGAGTTGCCATTTCGCTTGAGCTGCCTTATAGGACTTCTAGTTCCCTGAGGATTGTCGGAAAGCTGGACCTTTAATCTGAGGCAACAACGTAATGAAAAAACAACAATATAACCTCACCAACTTGCTGTGCTTTCGTCTCAATTCCAAATTTGTGTACACAAGAAAATCTAATAGCTGAGATGCCTCTTTCATTTGCGCATACGAAAAAAACAAAACAAACAAACGGAGTTTAAATTTAAAATACAAAGAAAATAGGAAGGAATGATTCACCTCCCAAGTTTCATGCGCCGACGAGAGAACCCAAACATCTTCAAGAATCAGCCAAACACTGAATGAACAAGAAACAAAATGAGGGGCCAAAAAAAGCCCTAATAATTAAACTCCACAAAGGTAATCCAGAAAGAGCTCATCATTGAAAAGAGCAACAATGATGAAGCAACCGTAAAGTGGACAAAGTACGAAAAAGGAAATATTGTCTGAATGTGTGCGGAGAAAGCTTCACCTGAAGCAGCTCTGAATTCCAGAAAAAGAGAAACAAAAGATACACCCGTTTAATTGCTAAGAAAGCTGACGAAAGAGAAAGGTGAAGCATTAAACGACGCCGAACCGAAAACACTTGGCTCAGGCCTGGGGAGCAACGAGCATGGCAGTGGAAAAGCCTCACTTTACGATGAGTTATTATTGGCATGAGCTGGAAGGGGTAAAGCATAGAGAGAGAGAGAGAGAGAGCATACGAAACATAGTACAGACACAAGCCAAGGACACGCACGTTAGCGCTTAATAGAAGTTTTGTCTTCTTGTGTTGTTGTATGAGCGCTGTGAGGTCATTGCATGCATAAATTGATTGATTCTAGATTACGACCGTTATGATTAGATAAAAAAAGCTTGAAGAAAATCAGCATCTGAGAAGCAGGGACGTATTTACGTTGGGTATAGAGGGGGCAATTGCCCCGCTAGAAAAATAAACATTTACCTAAACTTTAGTTAAAATTATAATTGGCCCCATAAAAAAATTAATTGTCGCACCACATTCTCTTTAAAATTATCTAGCATACATATTTAAAAACATTATTTATTCTTATATTTATTATAAAACTAAATTTATGATGCAAATCACATTAATATATATTTTTAAAATTATCATATATTTTATTTATATATTATTTGAATCAATATTTAGAATTATATTTTTCTTCAAGAGAAATTAATATTTATATTTAGTATAAATTTTGCCCTCTCTAATAAAATTTTCTAGACCCATCACTGGAACATAGGTTCTTGTCTAATCCAATGGGTCTAATGCTCCAGTAAAAAAATGTAGTAAAACGGTTCGCACAGGAATTTTTTTTGAGAAAATTATTTTAAAGTTTCACTTAACACAATTAATCACTCTTCGATTTATTAATGATTGAGTTTATAAGAATGACAACACAATTAATTGTTTGGACCTAAAACAAAGCATCAGTCCAGAATCACGAAGAGGAATGAAAATTGAAATGATGGAGCCAAATAAAAATAAGGTTCCACTCATGTCCAGAAGGAATAGTACTACACACATACTCAACGTAACTCTTAAAACTTGAAACGATTGGATGTTGGAGACTATTGAATGCATATGAGATTGTTATCTGATATGCCATGAATCTAACATGATTGTGCTTAATAATTATGGATATTTTGCAAACAAGCTTTGAATTTTTTGGGGACAACAATTCAAGGCATACAATTATAAAAAAGACCCAACCAACACAATCGAGAGACAAAAAAACATAGACAAAATACATAGAAATTATATCAAAATTAGAGCTAGTAATTTAGACCTAGCCTGAACCCATTTAAAAAAAGTTAAGGCCATGCTTGATTATATAAATTTTTTAAGAGGGTGGAACACTTTAAATTCGATCCAAATAAATTCAGCTCAAATTGATCTTGATCCAAATAAGTTCAATTACTGAAATTTATAGCTCTATATGTATATAGAGTTAGTAATTTTGTTTGAGCCTGACATGTCAGCCTGAATCCAACCAAAAAAAGTTTGGGTTGAGCTTAGTCATATGAATTTTTTAAGAAAATATGATACTTTGAGTCCGGCTTAAATTGAACCCGACCTGAATAAATCCAACTCTCTCGAATCATCGGCTATAGCCAAAATTAGTCTCAATTTTACTTTTCCAAATCATTTACCTTGTGATCCATAATTAGACTTAGGTTTATTTTTAGTTTACAAGTTATAATCATTGTAACTTTGTACTTTGTTTTTCATTAATCAAAAACATCATTTATGGCAATTTTTTTACATTTTGACATCCGAATGAACTCAAGTGAGAGAGCTCAAGGACTCTATATTCATCTTTAAAACTTTGTGTATCTAACACACCTAATTTTTGTTGTTCAAACACAACATTTAGCTTGTAAAAAATAATTATATTAAATGAGATTTGTATGTAATTCTCCCTTTTTTTTGGTAGGCAATTCACACAGAATAATAACAACTACTCTGTCTATAAATATTACCTCAATCTCCAAATACAATAAAAAAATATAATCAATTTTGTGTGAACTGGCTGCAGGAAAAAAATTAATTCACACAGTTTAAGAAAGTTAGTTAAGTATAATAATTGTGCTAGAAATTTAAAAAAATGGACTAAATTATCTCTATAATTAATTAAACAAATGTTTTCAATGACAATAAACATTGACTGTGTGAGAGATAATTTGAAAAAAAAAAATGTTACAGGTGCTCTTTAAAATTTGTAGTTTTGCTTATAAAGAAAAACAAAAAGATACATGGTAGTTTCTCTTATCTTTAAAATGAGTTTCTTTATCATAATTTATAAGATATTTTTAAAAAGATTTGACTTACGTAATATGAGATATCTTGACCAAAAAAAAAAGATTTTAGTAATGAATTTTTCCAATATTCACTGAACATGATTAGCGACGTCCAAATATGTCTAGAGGAATATTAAAATGGCCTGATATTTTTTTTATATATATTCAAAAAAAATAATCACAAATTCTTATAGTTTCATTAAATCTTACTTTAGTTTTCGTAGTATTTTTTTATATTTTCAATCCATATAATTTCAACAAGATTGAGTGGCATTTGTTACTAAGATCTTTATAGTTTTAATATTTTTAGATTTTTTAATCTCAATAAGAATTGAAAATACTAAAAAATATCACAATAACTAAAAACAAAATTTGATAAAATTATAAGAATTAATGACTATGGACCTGCTTGTTTTTTGTTTTTAATTTTTTTAGTTTTTGAAAATAGAAAAATTTGAAAACTTATTTGGATAAATGTTTTTCACTTAATTGTTTCCAAAAATTATTTTTATTTTTTTAAAAAAGCTATTTTTCTTATATTTAAAAATATATTAAATTTAATTATTAAAAATTAAAATTACCTTCACTATTTTTTATTATTAATCACTACCATTAATTATCCATAACAATAACTATCAATCCATTTTTAATTATCAAATAATTTTTTAATTGATATAACCAAAAGAATTTTTATTTTATTTTATTTTAAAATTAAAATTATATTACAAAAAAATTTTAAAAATTAAAAATGAGAATAAAAACCAAACACGCATATGTTTCCCCTATATTCAATTACGTTATTTTATAGCTACTTAAAAATATGTATAAAAAACAATAACTTTATGTAAATATTTCATAATATATTTCGGCGCACGGCCCTAGAAGGCATTTATCGGGTAATGAGCGGGCCAGCGTGGGCCCATGGGGCTGGAGACTTGGGCTAAGAGAAAAGGATCGAACCTCTGAGCCCACGTTTGGAGTCGCAATTTATAACGGGGAGAAGATAGTTATTTATTTTGTTTCACTTTACAAATAATCAATTATTATTTTATGCTTAGGCCAAAAAATTTACCACTTTATTCCATCTTTCATAACTGGGAAGCCCCATAAAGAAAAAGAAACATTAAAATCCTAGATCAACTTCTTTCCTCTTCTCGATTTTTTTTTTTAATCTGTTCTCCATGCTATAAAGATTGTTTCACAAATTTATGAGACTGTATTTTTTACGATGACCACGTTATACGTGTCAATTAAAATTATTTCTTTTGAAAATATATACTCCATTCATTAAAAAATATAAGACCTTTTTTTTAAAAGTTGAATGTTAAAAAATAAAAAATATTTTTATATTTCAAGATATATATAATTAATGTAAATCCTTAATAAATAAATTATTTTATATTTATTTTTAAGTAAAACACTTTATTAAATAAAAATAAATATGAAAATATAATATCAATTTAAAAATAATTAACTAATTTATTAAGAGTAAAATCTGAATAAAAATGTCTTACCATTTGAAGAAGTAGTATTTTATCTCACTCTAGTCTCTGGGAGCTATTCCATAAGAGGTTTTCTCTCTTTAAAAATTAATAAAATATTGATAATTTTTATTAATGGTTTTTTACATTTGGGTATAATTCTCTTGACAACCGAGACCTTAAACTTTTGAAATTTTAAATAAAGCACCACCCCTAATCTTCAAAGACCACCACCACGAAGCCACCATTTCCAAATTCCAAAAATACACAAATCGCGATAGTAAGCAAAGCACAATTTAATAATATATATATATATATATATATTGATGAACAAATGACAACAATTTACTGGGAATTCATTGATTGCAACCCAAACTATTTTAAAAAAATTAACTCTTTTCAGGGCAAAAAAAGGATTAACTCCCTTATTAAGAGAGAAATGACCAAATTTGACAGGCCACATCAACAAACAACAACAATAAACTCATTTAGGCTTCGTCCAACGTAATTTCTTCGTACAGAAAGTTATGACTTATCAGTTGATCATCGTCTTCTTTCATCACCAGTGGAACGATTAACCTAAGTCGATGGAGACTAAATTATTTATATATAAATTCTTTCATATCCTTCTGTAATTCAGTAAATTAAACAGATAGCATTGGAGAGGTCCAGATATCTCCATCAATTATCATTCCTAAAATGCTTTTCTCTGTACATCACAGTCTCTTTAGCCACACGATGCTCTATCAGTTATTCTTTTTGTTTGTTCCTTTCAAGTTGTATCTAACTGTTTGATGATGTTACGAAGGAACCAATCATGATTGTTACACGTGTCATATTCACTTGTACCGTTTGGTGCATCTGTACTCTCTCATCAGATAAGTGGAATCAAGCAGGGGATAAGGTTTACACATCCTCGTTACGCAGGTATAGATTTTTATTTTACCTTGTGCCTCATTCCTTGCCATACTTTGCTTAATTAGTGGGTTTCCGTTTTTGTTTTTCCCCTTGCTTTTTTAGGATAAAATTTTCTGTAGAGAATTTTTCTTTTTAAGAAAGATTTTATATTTTATAAAATGACGTTTTTGTTTCCGTTTATGGGAAGTTTTTCTTTTTAAGAAAGAGAGAGAAGATTTTATATTGTATAAAAATTAATAAAATGATTGAAAATATTAAAAATAAAGAACACTTCATATAAATTCACCAATATCACTTTCAAAATATTTTTTTGATCCGTTTTTTTATTAGATATTAAAATGTCCAAGCTACGTATAAGTAAATTGAGTTAAAAATGTAAGATATTTTTAACCTAATATTTTTCCTCAATAAAGTGATTATTTATTTTTAAACTAACATTATCTTTTCATATCTATCCCTACATAATAAGGTATTTCACTTTAGAATAAATATAAAGTGATTATTCAATAGGGATAGTTTTAAAAAAAGATAATAATTATATTTTAAAATATTAAAAATATAAATTTTTAAATTTTTAAAAAATATTTTATATTTTTAAATGAAGTGAGTATATAATAAAATAAATGGAGACATAAATTTATGTTTTAGAATGTTGAGTTAAAATATAATATTCTTTATTATTTTTGTCCACTTATTCTTTTATCCATTTCCAAAAAGTTGTTGACAGCTGTTCGTTGTTGATGATGATAATGAAACCGCTGTTTTTATTTTATTTTGTAATTTGTAATACAGTTCGTCGGAGGAGGGTCCATATTAATTAATAACCTAACCCTAGAAAACTCAAAGCGATGTCATTTTAAATAAGAAAATTTTAATCTTCCACACAATTTTAAACTTATTCATAAAGACATTTGAATAAAAAAAATGGAACCCTTTTAATTTAAATTTGCATTTTAAAATAATATTGAAGTATTTTTTCCCTATATATATATATATATCATACACAGCATCACTATTCTATCTGTGTACTCTGTGGAACCCAAATAACGTTGAATCAAGAATTAGATACCCACTAATGTGTTCTCAAACTGTGTATAGTCGTTTTAGACGCGGCTATACGGACGATACCGATGAAAGAAACTAGCTAGGGTGCATAACATAGGCGCATGAATACGACGAAACACAAATAAAGTTAAGAATATTAAGACTTTAAAGGACGTGCATAGAACTTTAATTAGATAGCTTTTGAATCACTACTAATTCCAATGAATTCCCTCTTTCCCCTTCTCTTCATTTCTTGTTATTATCTGAATTTCTTAGGTCTCTTCTCCTGATGAGATTATTAGAGGCTAATCAAATTAATCTGAATTTAAGTAGCTTGTGAGAATGCTGATAAAACTCAGATGGTGATAACCCACTAGCTAGTGAAACGAAAAACAGCGGCTCGCAGTGAAGTTAGCCTTAATTATTACTATTAGTATTATTACATTATATTATAAGACAAGATCTCTATATATAATGTATATAGTAGTTGCATATTGCATATATTGTTTTTTGTATGAGATCAAACCCACATAGCACCTGCTCGCTTGAGCATTGGGATCAAGGATCGGTTAAGGTGGAGGCTCATGACTTCATTGGTTCCGCCCACAAGCTCGCCGCCGATGAACACAGCCGGCACGGCGGGGCTGCACCCTAGCCTTGAAAGGGCTTGCTCAACCTCCCTCCCTCTTGGAATCTGGTCCAGTTCATGAACCGCAGGGTTCACACCGAACTCTGCAAAGAGGGTCCTGATTGTGTGACACATGCAGCAAGAGCTCTTGCTGAAGATCACCACCGGTCTCTCTGATGCCATGTTATTCACCCTCTCCATCTCTGTCTTATATATATCTATATATATAGTCTGATGGCTAGGTTGAGGATGGAACAATGCCTATTGGGTTCAATACAGATTGATCAGGAAGGTGCCTTCAGAGATCAAGCTGATGAATCCAATCGAGTTTGAATCAGAATCAAAATCAAAATCAAAGCCAGCGAAGTAACCAACGAGAGTGGATTTATATATTAGCTTCTTGTTAGGGTTTTGGGTGTGATGGATAGAGTAAGTGGAAGAGGTTTATATAGGGGTTTTGAGGTAGGGTTTTGGAGCTTGGGGTAGAAGCCAAGAGACGAAGGAGGAGAAGATATGAGATTTGAGGTGGAGATCGATCGGATAGAATGTTCCGTTTGGATATATTTAAAGGTCGATATCGGTTTTTGTTTTTGGAGTTTCGCTTTGATCATTTGCTGACAGGGATAAATCAACGATAATGTATCGATCAATGCCATACGGGAACAAACACGTGTGCCCGTACGGATTCAAATAATGTTATTCTCATGCATGTCCTTTTACAGTGCTCACTTTTTGTCTCGACTTTTCATGCCCGTGATTCTTCGTACGAGATATCGTCGTGTTTTGTGTTGCGCTAATTTCTGCCCTCCCCCCCCCCCCCTTTCATTTACAATCTGATTATTTTAAAAACCTAACAGGAAGGGTCAGTTCACCCGGAATCGGGCCAGTGTTCAGTGTGGTATTGCAGTAGAAACTGGAAACTGGTGGAATCATGATGAGTTTGATCACCATTAGACCATAATCCAAGCACTGATCATTGAACCACTATTTCATCATATTCACTGGTCAATCTAATTTTTAAAACCTTGTTGCGGTAGTTGGAATATTTTTAGTTCTCTCACATTAACTACTCAACTTAGTTTTTACCAAAAAAAAAAACTACTCAACTTAGATACATTCATAGGTAATTGAAGAGAGTATTATGAAAAAAATGAGCTTAAGGGGTGTGTTTGGATAATCAACTTTTAACATTTGAGAAGTACTTTCTGACTTTTAGAGTGTGGAATGTTGTTTGGAAGAAAATAAAGAGATAAAAATGTATTTGAAAAGTACTTTAAGAATATTAGTGAAAGTAAATATGGTGAATGTAAGATGAGCTTTTGAAAAGTAAATTTGAAAAATAGAATATAATTTGACCATGATATTTCAAATATAATTTATTATTTTTTAGTTAAAAATATTATTAATTCATTAAAAATATAATAATAATTTAAATAATAATAATAATAATAATAATAATAATTAAAGATGAAGTTTTTAGCATTATATATTGAATAATTAATTATGTTAATTTTTAGCATTAATATACATTCAACTATTTATAAAAATTTTGTCCAATAAATTAAACTTTGTGTTTTATATTTTTATTATTTAATATATCAAATTTTATGTTATTTAAAATTTTTATCAACCAATAAATATTTATCCAATTGATTAAATTTTTTTGAATAAAAAATGTATCATATATATTTTTTAAATCATGTTAATTTGTAATATTAATGTATGTTAAACTATTTATTAAGTGATTTTTTTCAACATATCAGACTTTATATTTTTTTATTCTTATTATTTAACATATTAAATTTTATGTTGTTTTAAATTTGTTCACATTTTTTAAAAATTTTTAATATATCAGATTTGTATAAAAAATTATAAATTATCATAAATCAACATATTTTTTTTGTCATTGTATATTCAAAAGCACATTTGAAAATATGAGTCATTATTAATTCAAACAACTTTTAGTTTATCAAACTAATTTTTAAAAAAATATATTCAAACATAAATTTTATTATCACAACTAACTTTTACTAAACTGATTATCAAATAAACTTTTAGCAAAAGAAATTTTGGTAAACTAAAAATCAAACAAATGATACGTATTCCCCCTTTATATACATAATTATGGTAAAAAAATATGCAAAATCACTTTTCTTAGCCGAGAGAATCTGAGCTGCATTGATTATATGGATAAGGCAAAAACACCTAAAATTGGTGTGAGTGGTAAATGTTATCATCACTTAAACAAGTGATTAGGGTTTAAGTTCCAGCCTTTAGCAATTGAGTTGAAAATGTTTACTCATTGCTCTCAATACCTTGGGAGAGATATTCTTTACTGTTGATGAAAGCTGCTCCTTATACTTATCCAAAAAAAATGGAAAGGGTGGAAATATATGATGAATTGGAAATTGGAATTAATTAGGAAATAATATGGTAATGCGTTATATTATAGTATATGCACACACATGCGTAGAGTAGAGAGGTTCATATCGGGTTATTTCGTGTCACAATCTAGCTTTCTAATAAAACGAGCGGTTTTTGGTTTGTTCCTTTTCTATCTTTGAGGCATCTGCTGCTTTTTGGAATATAAATTTAAAGTTGAATTCATCGAATTTTCCAGAGATTTAATTTTGGCATCTAATTCCAGAAAGGGATATATGATCGAAAGCCTTTGAAGGCCACGATAGGAACTACTATGTGTATAGTTCTGGGCATCAACATTAATTAACTTCTCAATTTGTGTCGATTTATTTATAAACGAATTATGCTATGATTTCAAATCAAATATATATTCCAAACAATCATAATTAATTATTAAATCTGTCTGAAATAATTTTAAAATCTTTTGTTATCGTTAAAATGGCACATCGGGTAAAGTCAAGGTTCAATGCTCAACAGAAAAAAAAAAAAATTGCTTAGCTTTTCTGGGCGCGTCCTAGAATTTTTTGGGCTGATATTTTTTGAATAAATTTAACATCCCAAAATATAAGATATTTTAATAAAAATAAGGTTTTATTAATGGTATTTTTCTAATATTACTTATTTAATATTGAAGTAAGCCTATTTAATGAAATCTTAATATTCTCAAAGTATCTTATATTCTAAGATGTTGAATCTCTCCAAAAGTGACTTATAGTTTAGGATAAAGTATTACACACATACATATCCATAAATTAAAGCTAACATTCTTTTGTTTTGTTTTTTTTTTTTTTGGTTTTTGGGTTCTCTATGTGTGTAGGTTCCTACGGCCCTGAAGTAGATCAATTTGATGATGAGCGCTTTAATTTTCATCATTCGCAAAAACTCACCCTCTCTCCTCTCAGCTTTCGGCATGCCTCATATAGGATGGTTATAGGCACAACTATCTTATATGAGAAAGTGAAGATACGCAAGAACAAATATAGGGCGGTTGTTTGAATAACTGTCATACACACACAAAACATAGGATAGTTATATTAACAACCGTCCTATATGTGCTTATGCAAGCATTTTTTTTAAAAAAAAATTGCATTAGTTATAGGATAGTTATTTGTAACAACTGTCCTATGTTTTTTTTGAAATCCTTAAATCCTAGACCTTAATCCTTGATGTCTTCCCCCTCTTAAAAGTTCAGCCCTCACAAGTTGCCTTAGCATTCTCTCTTCTTTTTCCCTCACCCACTTCATCGTTATCTATGCTTGAGCTTGCGATCACTGTCGTGAAACCCATTCACGTTATCTCTTGTCCCTACTGTTGATGTGCTTAAGCCCTCTCATGTTCTCATCATTTGAGATTGTGGTTGTTTTTGTAGCTAGAAGGAACTAAGTTAGGGCTTCTGAGTAACAAGGTTCAATCTTATATGTAGAAGAAGCAAAACCAAATCGTAGCATTGCTTCTTGATTGTGGCTTGCTTCCTCTGTTGTTGGCAATATTCTTGTTAATTTCTAATCTACCTTGGTAAGTCTATTTTGAATTGTTTACTTACTTTTCTCCACAAGCTGTAGGTTGTTCTACTCTATCATAGGAATAAGCATATTTATGAGATGCATCTCTTTATTGGGTTTCATTTCAACCAAAGCATTTAATGGTTACTATCCATGCTTTGTATCTCATCTAAAAGGTTTATTCTCCCTATCCTCCCTTTTCCTTCACATAACTATGTTCTTTCAAAAATTGAGAATGTGTAAATTTTTACATTTATAGGGCCTTATCAAAGTGGTTTAATCAATGCATATTTTGGCTTGTTTGGAACAGGGGAAGTTAACTGATATGCATTTCTTTTATTGAGGGGATTAACCAATGTACAATTTTAGTGGTTTGATTAAGGAGAAAAGAAGAAAAAGAGAAAGAGCTGAGCTTGATTGGAGAATTCATAAGCTACAATGAGTAAACCTATGACTGCTATAAATACCATTGTCAAATTGTCATTTGGATGTCAACTATAGGTTTAGGTTCTTGCTTCACTGGATCGTGTAGGAACTCTACAATCTCTTTGTCTTTTTATAGTATTTCATGATGAACATTTCATTTTTTTGAGACTTATAGAGGCTACAAAGCAGTGTTTTCAGAACCGGACCGGACATTGAACCGAAAAAGTCAGCGGTTCACGGTTCGCATGGTTCAACCGATTGGACCAATGGTCCAACCGGTGACGTAATAATTAAATTAAAAAAAATTATATATGTATATAATAATTTAAATATAAGAAATACATATAAAATTGCTATTTAACTTAAAAAACTTAAATATTTTAAGTTTATCATGACTTAACAAGCTATATGATACACTATAATATCAAATGATTAAAAAAATTAGTCATTTTTTTAAAAAAATTTGATAAAAAATAAAAAAAAAGTTTTTTTTTGAACAGTCCGGTTTTTGAAAACCGGATCCGGTTCCCGGTCCGACCGCCGGTCCGAAACGGCTCAACCCGGCTCAACTCTGAAAATGGTTTTTTCCTTTGAACCAGACCGGAAACCAGACCGGTCGACGGTCCGACCGGTCCGACCGGCCGGTCCGGTCCGATTTTCAAAACAGTGCTACAAAGTGCAATATGTTGCAACATCCTAACAACTATAATTATAAACTCCTTAAGGATCAAACAAACTTTCCTAATGTCAAGGCTACTAAGTTGTCTTTCCCCACTTATCTTCATATATAGTTCAAGAATGGGTAGTAGTAGTAGTATAGATTATTAATGAGAAATAAAAATAATAGATATTCTTTTTCTCCCTTACTTTTATTACTTGAAAACAGAAGTAATTAAGTTTAAGTTTTATTTTTTTTTTAACACCATTCCTTTCATTGATGCTTGTTCACTATTTTTGGTCATTCTCATGCAAAGATTCCAAAAATTGATAGGTGTTCGATTGTTGATGCTATGTTGTACATGCACACGTGGAAGGGTATTGGATTCATTTTTGGTGTGAATTTACATAATTTTTAATGTGCTTAGTAGTTTAGATAAAAGATACTTGTACTCCATATATATAGACCTATGTAACACTGAAGTGAATGCAAATGTCAAATTAATTGTTATCAAACTGCTAAAATTTGATGCTTTATTTACTATTGGTGCATATAATTTGCCATGGTAATGTTTGCAATGATTGTTTTGTGGTTGATATATTCTAAAACATGGTTACTTCATTAGCTTCCTTTTGGGTACAATATTAA